AGTCAGGGATATAAATTTTAGCTTTATTTATTAGCCTAGATACTAGGCTGTTTATTAGACACCTCCTTGAATTAGCCATGCCCGAAATGTGGTACCTCTTTAGCGGAATGTAGTGTATGAAAGAACGCTGAAATCCACAGGAGCCCAACACAAGACTTCCTAAAATGTCCCTGTGTTCCTCAGGGTTCCTAATGTAATGGGACAAGAGAGATGAATTTGCCAGTGAGAATGAGGGCAAGTGGGAAGGGAGAAGCTTCCTTCTTCTTTGTCTTTTTTATGTGAGCTTCTTCTACCAGGTGTATTCCAGAATTTGAGTGAGTTTTCCAACCTCAAACGATCCAGAGGAGGATGGGTTCCACCTCAAATAAAGCAACCGAGAAAAAACCCTCACAGGTGTGCCCAGATGATTGGCTTTTAGTTAATTCCAGATAAAGTCAAGTTGATAGCCAAGATCACAGACCCTAAGGATGCTTTATTGAAGCTTTAGATGATCAAGAAGTTTCAACAATTCTTTCCTAAAGGTCATGGGGAATCTCACTTAGCTTCACAGAATTCTGGCCTCTTAATCTTTGAACTGAATGAATGCAACTTGATTTTACATTTCCCCTTGGTTTAATGATAATCAGTAAGATGTCAGGAAGATAGGGTTTATACTATTCTGAGCTACTAGTAAGTGTTTGATTTCAAATCACTTACATTTTCTAAGTCTGAAGTTTTCAAACTGCATAATGAGGCTATTAGAAGAACTAACACACACACACAATTTAATATGTATAAGTACCATATATATATATATATATATATATATATATATATATATCATACTTGCATTCTGCTGCTACTACTAAGTTTACCATTGCCACTACCTCTAACATAATTAGTCACACTATGTAAAAGGTCTTAGTTGTCTTTTTACATTGTGGACCTTAGGAACACCGAACTGAATTCAGAATCTTCAGCTTTTTGCTCACTATCATTATTAAATGATAAGCATCTCCCTTTGTGTTTAAGCACTTACAATTTAAAAGATATATAACTATTTTTTAGTCTTCAATATATCATCCTAATGAAATTAACTTTTTAAATACAGTTTTATGTATTAATTTTGTGTACGTGTGTATGCATATGGAGGTCAGAAAACAACTTGTTAGAACCACTTCTCTCCTTCCTTCATGTGAGTGGGTCCCAGGGATCAAACTCCAGTCACCAGGCTTTTCTGCAGCTGTTTTTACCTGCTGAGCCACCCACCCAACACATTTTGTTAGGCTGCAATTGCATTATTTTGCTTTTTCCCCAAAAGGTTTGCAAATAAGCTAAGGAAACAAAAAGTATAGTGCCACAAATGAAAAGAAAATACTTATTCCCATTTTTTCTTCATGGAAAGCTCAACTTGGCAGTTTTAGAAGTAAAAGATGTGTTACTGCCATAGTTGAAATTCATTTTTGCCCTGTAGTCATGAGCTTTGGGCCATAAGGAGTGACTGATATTTCTATGAGCCGTTTAATCACTCCAGGGTATGATTATAACAGGCTAAAGCATCGTTGCTAGCATCCACATCAATCACATGTTCTTCAGTTCTCAAGTGTAGCCACCGGTGACTGCTTATCTGATGAAGTTCACAAACCTATAGGGCTGTTCAGCTCGCCTTTTGTATTTGACTTCATACTCTAGAGACAGCACATGGCACAATGGCAGTCACTGGAAGACTGAATTGAAAGCCAAGGCAGAAAAAAAAGTGATCAAGGCAAGATCCAAATAATAAAGCACCCAGAGGGAGCCTCCAAGCATGAGCAGAAGAGATGGACTCAAAAGATACATCAGAGAAGGCTGACAGCATACTGATCCATTAGGCTGGGAAATAGAGGAGAGATGTAAAATGTTCAGTCATGAAGATTTGTGCTATTAAATAGCTATCTGTTACACAAGCAGTATACCAGGAACTCTCTTAATTCTTTTTTTTTACTTAATTCTTTTAATTCTCACAAATAATATTTGATAAACACTAATATTAGTTCCATTTCACAGAGTAAGTGTCTGGACAATGATTAGGAAGCACAAGAAGGGGAAAAACTTGTCCCCTAAGACATGAAACATCATCTACATTATTTCAGTCTCACATTGAAGTTTATAAAGATGTTTTACTAAGTAAATTGTCTTTCCCTCTTAAAACATTCTGCTATTAATGTCTCAGTAGCCCATACAGTTCATCAATAATGATTTTTTCATCAACACATTATACATAGCAAATTAAAAGACTATCATCGTGTTTTCTCAAATGGCCACTCTGTAAGACTCTTAACATAGAGTCCCTCCTCCCAGAACTGTAAATGTCATCAAGAAGTGATGTCAGTCTCTCACTTGAATAATTTTTTTTCCTAATGCCACTCAATATATGACAAGGGAGACATGTGTTAACCTGACAATGGTTGACATTTACTCAAATCTCATGATATTGAAATACCAAATATGAAAATTCCCAGTCCATTAGCTCAGTTCTTGCTTCTGGCTAGGGCTTGGGGTATGGAAAGAGCTGAGGCATTGCAACTAATCCTGTTTCTGAGATACTCTGGGCTGTGGGATAAACTCAAAGCTCTTGGCCAGCCTTTTTCCTTTCTCCTTCTCTCACAGTTTGAGGGAAAGGCACCTGGGAGTTGAGTGTGTAGGGTTGGCTGTGTCCTGTGACAATACCCCTGCCATTCACTTCTTGGGTCCAGAATATGATAAGGTAAACCTGGCATGACAGCAGTCACAGGGGACCTCTACCCTCTGTGAAGAGCTTCCTACAGTTGAGCCTGCTTTGTTGTTTTGTCTGTTTGTTTGTTTTGTTTATAATCCACCTCATAAAGGAGAAGGCAGCTTTTTCTTAACTTAAGGATTCCCTCAACCCAGCCCTCTGTCCTTAGAAACTATAGACTGACATATGTTTGAGATTTATACATCTCATATTTACTAACTTTTACTAGCTGTTATGTGCCAGGTTATGTACTTTTTTCTTTCTTTTTACATACTAAAATTACATTTTGACTTAGTAAATGTGTATGCTAGAATCTTGTGATTTCATTCCATCTCCAGTCCTTTTGAAAAGAACCCCTTTCCCATAGAAATGTTTACCACAGGGCATTTGGAGTGCCTTTTGGATTTGGGAAATTAGTGGTTATTTAGTTAGTTTTTGGTCTGACAATAATCAGTGAGTATATGGCCACCCATACATACATGAGTATAGAGTTATATACCGGAGCACAAACAAGGTCCATATCACTGAAGAAAACTGACATATCTTTTTCCATCAGTCATCAGTTGCCAGTAGCCTCTCAGCTAAGGGATGAAGCATCTTGAGTCACTCCCTTATCCATGTTGATTGTGTGTAGATCTTGGGAAAGCAAGCACAGCTGTGTGAGTTCATGTATGCAAAGACCCTGTCATGTCCAGAACACACTGCTCTTTGGCAGTCCTTCCATCCTCTGACTTTCACAGTCATATCTACCACCCTCTTCTTAAATATACTCTGAGTTTAGGGGAGAAGGTGTGACACAGATGTCCTATGGCTGAACACTCCCTGCAGAAAAGAAGTGACTGGTCAAACTGATCAGAACTGAAATTCATATTTTAAATTGGCAGAACATCATTCATTTGTCTATCAATGTTTGTTGAATAAAAATAATTTTAACATTTTATTTTCTGAATGGTTGGATCTAAAATATGAATATTAAATGATGAAAGGGGGGAGAAAGAAGTATTGTTCTAGAACCACAGTTACTTTGTATTTATTACTGTAAAACCCTGCTCCATTCCTCTGAGAATTTAAATCCTTTTGCCACCTGACTCATGTGCTTGCACAAATCAATTCAGAATACACTCCCAAGCCTGCTTCTTTAATAGAATTCTGATATAGTCATCATTAGATTTTCCTGTGAATACCTCCCTTACTTTAGGTTCCTGAATATTCTGTTATCTCCCCCAATTTTTCTAGCAAAATATAAATAGCCATTAGTTTTGAATGAACTAGTCATAATTTAATTTATTTCAGATACTCACTCTCCTTATAGCAATATATCTACCCTGTTCAACAGATATCTTATATTGGACAAAATGAAAGTTTCAATTCTAGACCCTAAAATCAAGTTTTCAGACTCAAGGTGACTTGTTCCCTCTTAGGAATTATGTAACTTATACATTAGTAAGACTGTCTATGAATTTGTTGATAAAGATATAGGTAGAGAGTATGGTTGGAAAGATCACATGAGAAAGGCTAAATCTGATTTCTGACAGAGTATATACTTAGTAGTAAGTGTTACCGTGCAAACTTAAGGGACTTGTTCACCCCTGGTTTATACATAAAAGTGTTCAAGAACTCATGTTAGCTTAGAGTACCAAACATATGTGTAAGCTCCAGTTTTTTCAGAATGATGCAGGAATTTGGACCTTGACTCCACTGGCACAGAAGGTGTGTCAAAGGAGTTCCAGGACAGTACTGGTCAGAGATGGAATCCAAAAATGTCTTTGGATGAGTTAATTTCCTAAATCAAGCTAGTCCCACTCACATTAGAAAAATTCTGCCATTTTCCTTGCTCATTATCTATGAGCCTCTGAGGAGCAAAGGGTTCCAAGAAGGTTGTATTTCTAACAATGCATGGTTATTTGTTATCTCTGACCTTTGCTTTTGTGTTCAACTTTGCATCAAGTATTTTCAATACACATCATGGACATGTACTAATGGCCATGAGAAAAAGGAGGGCATTTTGGAGATCAGAACTTATAGAGGTAGTCGTGGTGTTAGCAGAAAACCTCACACTGAAATCTGTATATTGTCTCTAGAAATAACCAAATATCGAGACATGCCCTTGAAACTCTACAACAAGACAATGAAATAAAGCCAATTGTTCTAGATCCAGCCAATGCAATGTTTTACTGGTTTATTGATACACAGATGGTACACAGAATACAAGCCTTAAAGATGTAAACTTGCAGTATTGAGAGTTTTCTGTCTTCCATCTTTGTAGATGTATGATGGCTCAAGTTCCGTAAATACCCGTGTTGCCAATGTGTGTGGAAGACAGAAGCCACCAAAGTCCATCACCTCCTCAGGAAACAGCCTCTTTGTGAGATTCCAGTCTGGGTCTTCCAGACAGAGCAAGGGCTTCCGAGCTCAATTCAGACAAGGTAAGTATCTCGTGGGTCACTTAAGCCCTGGAGTGCTCTAATAACACCAGACGTCAGAAGTTGATCAAAGTTTCCAACTTAATATGCAAATGTTCAGACAGAAATACAAGTATTGTAGCTGTTCATATATTTTACATATCTTCATCTATTTAAATGGTGATGATGTCTCAGGATCTTTCTCTTAAGCACTATGTTTTTAGAATAACATTTAATGGTACAGTACCAGTGATATACAAAGAAGAATTAGCCAAATAAATTTACCTAGGCACTTATCCAAGAAGATATAAAACTGTAAGACTTGTTTGTGATGTAGAGTCAGACTATGTCTCCACAGAGTGGCTCACTTCATTGCTGAATCCCATAGTTTTCTGTTGTTCTTGTCCTCAGTCACTACTTCTCAATTTCTTCTCTCAAGCCTTTTCACCTATTGCCTTTCACCAGATTTTTCTCAGAGAATCAAATTGTCAGACATGAAAGAAACCCAGAGCTTGGAGGGATTTAAATTGGTTTGAATGGGGCCATGATTTTTATCTTGATGACACAGATCATTTACTTCAAAAACTGTTTTAATTAAAAAAAAATTGCACATGTGTTTATGTGTATGTGTCATGTGTACATGTAGAGATCAGAAGGCAACTTAGTTCTCTCATTTCACCATGTGGATCTTAGGGGTTGAACTCATGTCTTCTGGCTTAATGGCAAATGCCTTTACCCACAGAGCCATCTCACTGGCCTCACCTCAAATAAGGTTAGCCTGTGCCTGTTAACATTCATACAGGTAGACTTGCTGGTATCATATTAGTAAACAGTCCTACATGGAGAGTGTTTCTGAGTCTTGTCTCTCAAAGGTGCACTCTCAGAGACATTGGAGCAAGACAATAGTGTGCAAGTGTACCATTCCCAGTGATTTCAAAGAAAAAGAAGTATTTAACATTATTTTTCTTTACATTTAATATGCTCTTAAGTGTTGCTTCAGAATTAAAGTACCCTATCTTCCCTATGTGAACATTTATAACAACCCCCTCAGACTCACCCACTCTTGTTCCATCTTTCTCCAAAATAACTTGTAAGAGACATATTCTGATTACAGAGACTCCTCATGTCTGTCCTTTCTCTGTGTGGCTTAGAAAGACAGCCCACTCCCACTCTTAACTGCAGTCCCCAAACCTGCCCTGACTCTTTTACAGTGCTACTTGCAACATGATTTAAGCCCCTTTCCATGTCAGGCTGCCCAGTCCCTGCACTAGTCTTCTCCTCCTCCAGGTTCTGGTTCAGTCTTGCTTTCTCTGGATCCTGGGCACTCAACAATATAACACACTCTCCTCTCCTTGTTTCCACAGAGCATTGAGCTTCTCTGTTTAACTTGCAGTCACCTTTATAAACTGAATGTTTTCTAGAGAAAATGAAGTTTATTTATGAACAAATTACCCTTCTTGTAACTTATGAGGGACCAGAGTAAGTGAATCAAGACCAAAGTATTGGTTGAATGATTGAAACAATTCAGAACCATATAAGGTGTTGTTCTATGCCCATGGTCCCATTTCCTGTCATTGAGATATATTATAACTGTGAAGTATTTTCTCATTATCTGATGGCTTATATGCAGCTTTCCACAGAAAGCTTTGTTGGCATGCATGGTGGAAATAACAATTTTCAGTCATCTGAAAATGTGTGTTTTTGTGCTTTCCAGAATGTGGAGGCTACATCATCACCGACTCTTCTGAAACTATTTCCTCTCCATTGTTTCCTGATAAATATCCAAACAATCAAAGCTGTACCTGGATAATTGAAGCTACACCTCCATGTAAGTAACAAAATTAAAAAGGGTGGAGTCTGGGGCAAGGGATACCTTTGGGAGGCATGGCTGTCAGTGGAGTGCTTACATTTCCCATGGTAACTGTTGATAACTGACCTCTTTTGCTTGAAGCCCTGGTTCCTGGAATGCATGAAGACAGTCATTTTCTAGTCTAGTAAGCAAACATTTTAAAACTGATTCATATTAATTTGAAGGAATTTTTAAGGCTGAATGTAGTAATCCTAAAACTCTGGAGGCTAATGCAGAAGACTTATGAGTTGGAGAACAGCCTAGGCTCAACAGTAAGTTCAAGGCCAGCCTGAGTAATATAAGGAGATCTTGTCTCTAAAAATGCAAGGGCTGGGGAGTTCAAAGTATAGATTAGTGGACTGAGTATAAGCACTGAAGCTCTGTATTCGATGCCCAGAACTACATGAATCAAGAGTGGTGGCACATGCTTGTCATGCCAACACACACTGAGGTAGGAGAATCAGAAGTTCAAGATCACCTTCTATTCATATCCAGTTGGAGGCTAATCTGGGATCAGTGAAATTCTTGTCTCAAAAACAAACAAGCAAACAAGCAAGACAAAGGATTGAGGCTGTGTTTCCGAGAACATTTCCTACCTACCATGCACGAAACCCTAGGTTGGACTCCCAGCACTGTTAAACAGTATTTGGGTACATCTTTGTTGTACTGGCAGGCATGTGAGATTGAGGTCGTTAAAAAGTAATTGATAGACAAACAGATCTTGACATGTATTGCTGAGTGTGGTAGATGCTGAATGAATGCATGAATAATAAGGGTATAGTTTGAAGAAATACCTTACAGTTGGAGAATATGATGTCACAAGCTATTATTTACTAAAGGGGAAATTAATAGAAAAATCCAGTCTCTCCTTCTGTGTACATATTAAATCCCAGCACAGGCCTAGAAGCACTCAGTAAGTGCTTCCTTTCCTTTCTTTTTGAAATCTTAGAATTCTATTACAGGCAGAGAAAGTGAGATGGCCCTTATAAACATGGCAGAGTGGCTCCAAAAAGAGTGATCCTGGTCCCATTATTAATCCCATTTTGTTTGAACCCTGCCCTCCTTTAATGTTTCCGGGAAGAATTTGTGATTTCAGACACAATGTGGGAAAGTGATTAAATTTTCTTCTCTGCTCTCCAGTTAATGACCTGTGTGAAAATAGGACAGTCACTTAGGCTAAGCAGGTCCCAGCACAAAATAATTTGCAAAAGAGCTGGGCTTAAATATTATTAAATTTAATTTAGTTGTTATTCATTGTGAAGTAAAATTTCACAAATTGATAGTATTTTTGTGGCCATACTTGAGATGTGGGAGCCAGTGCTGTAATTCTTAGTCTTTGTTGATAGAGAGGGTGGAGGCCCAACAAAGCAGAGGAAGAGAAGCCCCCTGCCTTGAGCCCAGCAGCTTTGTGCCTATTGGATATTTTCTAATGAGCTGTAAAAACATCCAGATGAAAGTTCCTGCTGCAAGGACAGCAACAGGAAAAGATCTCATTCTGAAGATTAGGGATGCTGGAAAGGACAACAAAAGGAAAATGTACCCAGGCACTTGCTGTTCCTTACATGATTCAAAGCTTTCTTGATGGATGATTCAGAAGCTCTAGGGCACTGGTTGTGACCCCTAAATAAGCTTGAGTGTCTAGGAGGCATGTGCTGTGGAAGAAGATTCTCTCCATAAAGGAATCAGAAGGAATCTCAGTAAGGAATCAGAATCCAAGAAAACTAATCTGTGGAGGAAAATACTTATGAGAGGAACACAACCATGGCTGATAAAACAAAACAAAACAAAAGCCCAAAGCTATGTTTTCCAGAAAGACATTCCCCAAAGGCTCTGAGATGAACTTACCCAAGAGTCCTGATTGACCATACTGGCATTTGGGATTCTACAGGCATTTTCAAAAGCTTTGATTTTGCTACTCTTCAAAGGAAGCCCTTTAAGCATGAGGCTGAGCCCTTAGCTCTGTTTACCCACTCCAGTCCTGTGCAAAGCTGCCAAATTCCTTGCTTCCCTGCTGGAAAACCCTCCTCTGAAAGTACCAGAGGCAAAAATCTCTCTGTTCTTCTTGCCAGTGTTTTGTTAAATAACCAACCCTCTTCTCTCTCTCTCTCTCTCTCTCCTACAGTCAATCATATTACCCTCTCCTTTAGCCACTTTCAACTTCAAGACAGCACAGATTGTACACTGGACTTTTTAGAAATTTTGGATGGCAAGGACTATGACGCACCTGTCCAAGGTACCAGAGACTCAGTCATTTACATGTGTAGACTTGGCATGGCGTGTGTGTGTGTGTGTGTGTGTGTGTGTGTGTGTGTGTGTGTGTAGTGACATTCAAAGTTACAGTGTTTCCAATAAGCATGAAGAGCCTCAGAAACCACTTAATAATCAGAGAGTAGGAAAGCGGTGTAATATGAGGCTCAAGAAACTTATATTCAAAACTAGTGTGTATTTTAGTTTGTTCCTAAAGTGTGGGTTACAGAATCTAAATTACAATCTCAAGCAGTAGTGGAACAAAGATCATTTCATCATTAAACAAAAAATTCTGAAATTTCTGATTAGCACTTTAAAATACTTCTTATATTCCAAATGTTTCCTCTGTCTCCAAAGGAAAGAAAAGATGTTAAAATCAATTAATTGATTTAATTAGATTCACCAGTTTGTTTGTTAGGCATCCCAATGAAGTTAAAATGTGTGCAACATTGCTTTTAAAATGGTTCAGACAAAATAACCTTAGATGCATTCAGCTTTGTTTGTATTTGGTCATGGGAGTGTCTCCCTTGCAGAAGGTGAGCTCTGTCAGAGGAGACTGCTTTGATTTCTGTGCCCATAATGAAACACTAGGCACACCACTCATTGCATTGTATCAAAGACACAAATAATACACACTCTTATCCAACCACCTCTTGTGGAGTACTATTCTAAGTACTCTGTAAGTGGTAACCCCGTCTTTATATCCTTATGACATGGGTTTAGTTATTTCTAGTACGTTCCCCTCTTCACATGGGGAAACTAGGTCACAGGACCCCAAGTAACTTGTCTCTGGTTGCATAGCTAGTACTGGCAAGCTAGGCATAGAATCCACGTAATCTGATCCACCATCTCCTCTTCTCTGTGACAATGTACTGAGAGTTTCAGTGCATTATTGTTTGGTCCCCACTTGGCTGGAAATATTTACCTGAGTTATATTGAAGTCTGGTCATATCAGTTATATATAGAGTTTATGTTTAATGGCCAGACAGTGTCTAAAACAAAACTCTGATGTAAGTGGTTCTCATTATGATTATTTATGTGTGCCTGGAATAGATACTTGTGGCTCTTTATTCACCTCCTTTTCACTCCTTTCATTCGTTAGGCCGTTACTGTGGTGCCTCCCTGCCCCGTCCCATCACATCCTTTGGCAATGCCCTTACATTGAGGTTTGTCTCTGATTCTTTCGCCATGTTTCAGGGCTTCCATGCCTTCTATTCTGCATCAACATCAGGTGAGTAAAAGGCATTACCATGTGACTGCAGGTATATCAGGATGGGAATCTTTGGTTGGTTATTTAGGACTCTTTTAATTTAAAGTTGGAAGCCAGTTTCCTAGAATTTCCCAAGTGCCTTCTTTATAATTTAATGTTGTGTAAATTCTCATAACCATGAAATCTGCAAGTGAGGAGAACAGGCTGGAAACAGGGCTGTTTTTAACTACACCTTACAGTCCTGGAGACCTGTTCTCTGGGGTCACAGCAATGTTTGCCATGACAGTTATTCTTCTGTATTCTGCATTTGATGGTAGGGTCAGGTAGGTCTGGATGCTGACACGTCCATTGTACAGTGAGGCACATGATGGAAAAGTGCTGTGCCACCCAGCACTATAGTTCTTGACCAGGAGAGGCTGATGCAGCCCAAGTGTGCCTCAAGTGCTCTTCTCAGAAGGAAAAGCTGGGAAGTACCTTCTCTTCCAGGGCAAGCTTGAAAATCACCCTGGCCAAAAAAACCAAGTGGCTGCAGGATTCAAAACAAGTCCTTTTAAACCTACATTTCTAGTTCACATGGAGAAAGACTTTTAGAAAAGGGTCCCTTCTGGCCAATCATACTGTAGAGTTCTTGGTTTTCTGGCTTTGGAATCTTCCCTCTATTCCTATATGTGACACAGATTGATTATTAATGTCAGATAGAAGTACCATGTCCTTCTTTGTATATGGCTCCAAGGCTCTTCCTCTTGTATCTCATGATGTCCTTCATTTGGTCTTTGCTCTGAAGCTCCCTTTGTTTCTTTGCCTTCCAGCTTGCGGTGGAACCTTCAACATAGCTGATGGCATCTTCAACAGCCCCGACTACCCAGCAGACTACCATCCTAATGTAGAATGTGTCTGGAACATTGTCAGCTCTCCTGGAAACCAGCTGCAGCTGTCCTTTCTGTAAGTCCTTTGCAAAAGTGTTGTCTCAGTACTTGTGAGCACTGTTACTGAGAGGATGGTCACATCCTGGTCACAAGTCTTCACTGTGTAGCCCACAGTGGCCTCAAACTTGTGATCCTCCTGCCTCACCTTGCCATGCAGGGATAACAGGCATGCATGGCAATACCTGGCTGTTGATTTTATAAATTCCTCCATGTTGAGAGAAGAACAATGTTTTCTGGTTCTTCCCCCTAAACACGCCCATCTATACAACAAGAACTGACTAAAAATGAGACAAGCTCAAATCTTTCAAATTGCTTTCTTTAATCCACCAGACCATGCTTCCTCAGGGTACAAGTGGCACTGTGCTAAGCAAGACTCTCTTCCTATATCTGAAAGGCAATATAACTATAAACTGCCATGGGAATGTTTGCATCACCTTTGTTTTCACTGAAATTGTGACATTTCTTATGTCATAAGAGATTAAACAAATATCCATATAATAATCTCTACATTACATGTGTTTCTATTCGGCATATATTAATTGGTACCTTGAACACGAAGTGGACACGTAATCCATCCCTGTGGGTGCTTTACAGACAGCGATGAGAGGAGTGCTCTCCTGTCTCAGTGATGAAGCCAAGATCCTCCATGGAGCTTGGACTTCATAACTGCCAAATATATGAACCTACGTTTTGGCCTTTTTCCTCCCCCCACCTCTACCACACTCATGTTGTTTACCCCTCTGATGTTCAGTGGTTCCAGGAACTAGGTAGATACTGGGGATATTTAATACATATATGCTCTCCGTTCTTGACAAATTTATTGAAAAATCATCTTCAAGATGCTAGTGAACTGAAAGCTCAAAAGGTTTACTCCAACCTTAGAAGGACATTAATAAACTTGAAGGATCCCCATTAGTGTTAAGGATACTAAATTTTAAAATACCTAGCTCAAGACCATGATATAGCAGTGTTCTGTGAAGACTTTCAGTATTTGCTATGTCTTAAGAATCTCCTGTGGTGCTTCAGGACCAAGCTCCCTTGGCCAACACTAGACTCCCTAGAGCATGGGTGCTTAATTTGATTGTCAACTTGACAGGTAGGATGACAGGAACTTCAACCAGAAGGCTTAGCCTGTGGGCATGTCTATGGGGCACTATCTTGCTAATTGATGTGGGCTTGAGCTACAGAAGAAAGGCAGCTGAATGTAACCTGGGAGCATGGCTGGAAGCAGTGCTCCTTCTTGGTCTTTCCTTAAGTTCCTGCCTTCAGGTTCCTGCCATAAGCCCCTACCCAGGTCTTTCCTTCTCAAGTTAGTTTTGGTGATGGTGTCTGTCACAACAACAGAAATCAAACAAGGACAGAAAGTGCCATCCATTTTTCCAGCTGAGAGACATTAAATGTGATTTCTGAATAGAGAACTCTTAGTGACTCGGTTGTTTCCTTGCTCACTTTGTGAAGTTTGACTCCTCTGTGTTACAGGCTTGAGTTTTATTGTTAAAGTGGCCTTTGTAGACTGCAAGCTGCCTTTGCTGTGTGTTAATGGTAATGAGAAAGCGTTCCTGGCAAAGCATGGGAGTTACTTCTGCCCTGATCTAAACTACTTCCAGATGTGGACTAGCCCTCTTCCCTGGGGTGTGTCAGAAGCATCTGAAGTGCATCAAGTTCTCACACAGGGTTTAAATTATGGATAGTGTGGTGAAACTGAGCAGGGAGAAAAAAAATGGATAAATTATGGTTGGATTTGCAATGAAAAGGAGAGGGGAGAAATAAAACTTACTATTTCTATGAAACAGATATTCAAAGGAATGAACAGAAAATGTATTGTATGTCAGGAAAAAGGCTTTGAGGAAACTGTTGGTTCTAGTGGCAGGGCTGAAATGAGATAATGGGAAACAGAAAGTAGATTATTTTTGTTGCACATTATATTTTTACTGACAGATCTTAGCCAAAGGGTAGATTCACTTATAAAGTATACCAGTCTAAAACAAAGACTTCCAAGAATAAAGCTTTCATAAGAAGTTTGGTTGGATTCTTCCAAGTATCACCGCTGTAATCCCTGATGGAAAGCCTTCCCTGCTGTTTATCCCTGGAAGACAATCTGATCATTAGGAAAGACCTTGCCTGTGTGATGTCTGGGACCACTGGTCAGAATTTTAGCAAGTGTTTAGATCACCAGAGTTTTGCTGAATTTCAAGTCCAGAGTCAGTTACTATTTAGGGCTAGATTCTCCCCCTACCTCTTGAATATCTAATTATCTGATTTTAAAAAAAAATATTCTTCATACAATATATTCTGATTTTGGTTCCCCTCTCCCAGCTCCTTCTGGATCATCCCCACTTCCCCACCCACCCAAATGCACATCTTCTTTTCTCTCATTAGAGAGAGTCACCTAAATTAATAATTATTATAAGTAAATACACGCAAGCAAGCCAGAATAGCACAAAACCAACAGGAAAAAAGAAAAGAAAAGAGGGGAAGGAGAAGCACAAGAAGCACGTACAGAATCTGAGACACATTCCTACACACGGAAGGCCCGCAGAAACAAAATCCGAAACTATAACACATAAGCAAAGGACCTGTACTGGAAGGAAAGAAACGTACAGACAAAGCATGTGGGGTCCAGACTCTTTATTTCAGATGAGCTTTCAGGTGGTGTTATGATTATTGGACCACACACCATGCCAGGGTAGGATGCTTTGAGAGCCAGGCTGGGGAGTTACCCTCTGAGAGAAAAGAGGATTCACTTTTCTCTTTTTTTTAGAAGCAAAGTAAAACAATGTCAGCATATAGATCGCACTAGCCATAACACAAGTGTAATAAAACTGAGCTTGAATTATGCTGCTTGTCTCATATGTAATACTGTTTTGCATTTTCTTATCTCAAAGTTCCAATGATAGTTTGTTTTCTTGTAAGAGTTTTATATTTCTAACATTTTGAGAACATATATGAAAACTGTTGAGTTAATTTTAGCATATAAAGAAAGAAATTGAGTTTTCTTTTTTTTTCTTAATAAGAATGATAGCCAACATTTTCAGTATTGAACTACTTTGGCCCATCAGGGCCAGAAGAGGGATTTAGCTCCCTTGAAACTGAAGTTAGGATAATCTCAAATTTATTCTGTCAGTTCATTCTGTTCCTTTTTGTTTGTTTGTTTCCAAATTAGATCCTTCCAGTTGGAGAACTCTCCAAACTGTAACAAGGATTTTGTGGAAATCCGAGAGGGAAATGCCACAGGCCGCTTGGTGGGAAGATACTGTGGAAACTTCCTCCCTGGCAATTACTCATCCATCAAGGGGCATACTCTTTGGATCAAATTTGTCTCTGATGGTTCAGGCAATGGCATGGGCTTCCAGGCCAGGTTCAATCAGAGTAAGTTGGTTTGTTTCCATAATGTATCCTACAAACTAGGAACGATGACAAATGTTTTGGTAATGTATTAACTAAGAATAATCCTATATTCAGTATTCATTTCTCAGATTGTAGAATAATATAGTAGAAAGACCTAACTATTTATGGATGCTTCACTCAAAGAAAAGGAAATGTGCTGATGCTTTGAGTCTTCTTTTTAGGCTCCAATTTCCATCTGCTAATAATGTTTATGATATCATGCAAATGGACCTTTTAATATGGTCCTGGTAGATAAAGTTCTGTCAAACATGTTTCATTTGTTCTTTTAAATTTATTTCTAAAATTAAGATCTTTAGAATTATTTGGGGGTTGGCTTAAGCATTTAGATAAACACGTGGGCTGTTCTTCTGATACAGATAAAGTATTAATTATTTTTATTCTTTAACTCGAGTTTTTGCCATGATATGGTATTCTCTGTGTTGATCCACATATAGAACTTTTAAAAGGAGAGGAAAAATTGCTTTATTTCATAAAACAAAGCAAAATTGGTAAAAATACAATTAAGGTGTGAAATGGCATTCCTATTCCTCAAGTCCCCTGGCCTCGGAAAAGTCCTTTTCTCATGGGAAGCTATCCCTTCTTTTCATACCCTGCAGCCAACTAAGGCTGCATTCAAGAGCCATCCTTCTCCAGGAGCTAATAGCCCAGAAGACTAAAAGGGAAGCAGTATTTCTTTCAGTGGTCAGAAAAGAAATCCCAGTCAATTAAAAAGCCTGTCCTTCCCAACAGTCTTGCCCTTTGTTTTGTTTTTTGTTTTCATTTAATTAAAGAACAATTCTAAATAGGTCTGATTTACAACTCTGTTTTCCCTCCTAGTGTTTGGCAATGATAATATTGCAGAAAGTCATGGGAAAATCGCATCTCCCTTATGGCCTGGAAGTTACCCCCATAACTCCAATTATGTATGGACAGTAAATGTAAATGCATCTCAAATTATCCAGGCTAGAATCTTGGAGATAGACATGGAATCAACATCCAACTGCAATTTTGACAAATTAAAGGTGAGTTTCTTTATGAGGGGATGTTTATATATTTTGATGGATACTAATGACAAAAATAAGTCCAAATTCATACCCATTTAAATAAGTAAAAGACATATGTGATGGTCCTCTCATAACTGCTGCTTCACCATCATCTATATAAAGAGATTTTTATGTTATATTTGTTATTTTCTATTCTACATAAAATGAAGTTTAAGCAATATTATAATTTCCTTATCAACTTTGTCTAAGCATACCTATTTGATCTAGTTATGTGTTTATTCTTTCTTCTATCCTGTCTTCCTGTTTGTCCTTTTATTTGTCTTGTTTTGCTGTTTTTCTTGAAGCAAGTTGGGAATTTAAGAGAAGTCTTTACTGTAGATGGAAGCCCCAGCGTTAAGGTGGAGAGAGAGGAAGGGGGCACAGTGTATACTCAAATGCAGCAGACTTCCTGAGAGAGGGAGAGTTGTCTGCTCTAGTGATACAGTCTTGAAACCTGAAAGGGTGACATAAAAATATGAAAATACAAATGGAGAAACTATGATGGCTTTTGCCATCTATTCATTGGCTACTCTGTGAATTCCAGAGGACACTATCATGTCCTCGAATGATGGCCACAATCCAATCACTCTTCTTGGGATCTCAGTACTCAAAGTATAAGCTAATGACTGGTGACATGACACCCCATAGCTGTGGGAATAATTAGGACGTAATTTGAAAGAAGGGAGCTTAATAGAGGATTTTATGATCATGACAATAAATGAATAACAATTATTTGGAGACTATCATAAAATGTCTCTAAATAGGCAAGATAGTATTTTTAAGGCAGATGTAATAGATTTACTAAATATTTTGAATATGGGAGTTCAATGAGCTGTGTTCTTTCTTTGTTATTAATTTTAACTCTTTTCTCTCTTAGAGTAAGACCCTCTTTACCATAGGTTATACTTTCCCACCCACAGATTTGACTATAAGCCACTAAATATTATATAGACCACAAGCATATTTATTAAGATAATTCTAAAATAAAGCTATATGGAACACCTTAAATTATTCATAACAATATATTTAATGTAACTTTCTGTTTTATACGGAATTAAAGCATTTTCTTATTATTCTTTCTACTTATTCTTCCTACTCTGATAAAATTATAAAATACAAACCATCCTCTAAATTTCACTTTTAATGAAGAATAATATAGATAATTGGCTAGTTATGATGCTTTATTGTGTGTGTGTTTCTTTTTTTTAACATGCAGATTTATGATGGGCCTGACATCCATTCCCACCTGATTGGCACTTACTGCAATAAACAGTTGTTAGAATCTATTAGTTCCAGTAGAAACTCTATGACATTTCAGTTTTCTTCTGACTCCACCATCTCAGGGAAGGGATTCCTTCTGGAGTGGTTTGCAGTAGATGTTTCTCCTGGACTTATTCCTGCCATTGCTACAGGTGTGTTTGGGGTCTTTCTAAGTCTTCTCTCTCTTTCTCTCTCATGTGTGTGTGTGCATGCGTGTGTGTGTGTGTGTGTGTGTGTGTGTGTGTGTGTGTGTGTGTGTGTGTGTACTATGTACTGGTGCCCTAACATGCCAGAAGAGAGGTTGAGTTTCCTAGAGATAGAGTCACAGTGGTTATGAACTGCTTGACATGGGTATTAGGAACCCAACGAAGGTCTTCTGGGAAAGTAGAAAGTGCTTTTAACTGTGTATTATCTCTCAGCCCCAGAGTGCAGCCAGTTTGGAAGTACTTCCAGGACAAGGGCTTAAAGATGTTGGTTTTTTTACCCTACAGGTGCTTGTGGAGGCTATATGGTGACAGGAGATACTCCTGTCTTTTTTTTCTCCCCGGGCTGGCCTGGGCAGTATGATAATCGTCTTGACTGTATATGGATCATCTATGCTCCTGATTCTACTGTGGAACTCAACATTATCTCCATGGACATCGAATCTCAGTCAACGTGTGACTATGACAGGCTGATCATAAAAGACGGTGAGAAAGTGTAGAAATCAGTTTAAACTCTTATGCACAGTTACAATTAGTTGTCTTTGTGTACTAGCTCCATCACAGTTTGTACATAATTTTATAGATACTGTAACCAATAAAGCCATCAAATCAAAGAAATAGCCACAATGTCTAGAGAATGTAGGAAGAGTACTATATTACCTATCACAAAGTGACAGGGATAGCACATTCCTCAGGGAAAACAAAGGCTTTCTGAGGGGAGACACAGTCTGGAACTCCAGACTGTGCTAAATTTTTATTGATACAATGAAAATAGATACTTACATTTGTAGTTATGGCTTTAAGATCTAAATTTAAAAACCAAGAAGTATCTAAGATAGGTAATGTGTCCATTTATCCTGGATCTGTGGGTAGAAGAGTTAGAAATGAAAATGTTGTGGTGTTGCTATACATTGATGAAGGGGCATGAACCTTGAGACTATACCATATTCATGCAATTGCCCTTCCTACTCTACATCAACTAAGTACAAAAGGACAATTGAGAGGCTACATTGTCCATAACAGAGTTTCTCAGTGGTCCCCAGAATAGCAATGCCAGCATCACCTGGAAACGCAGATTGTCAATAACAGCAAAGGTGTTTGACTATAATATTCAAGAAATTGCTTTTTTATGGTCCCATCTGTACAAAACCTCCCAGTGAGAAACATTGCTTGGTGGAGATGCACTAAGAAATAATCAATCATGCCCTCACAGACCTTCTGTCCTGTGAACAATTGGCTTTCAGCACATGTCCAGAATACCTCCTCTTTCCTAACATCAAGGCATCCCTGCAGATACTAAATTTTTTTATAGTGTAATTCAGTGGGTGCATCCCAGCACATATGACTCTGAGTGTTCACAATACAATTGAAACCTTTTAGAAATCAATGGAGTAGCTTGCTTGTTCTTTAAAAGTCACCATTGACTGAGTTGCCTGTTTTGGAAGCCTGGACTCTAAAGCATACACCCTGAATGACCTGTGCAAGCCTGTTTCATCATCTGTGAAAGAGATGAATGCTGCTCTTGAGGTCTTTTCTTTCCCAGCAGCTTTTTTATGACTATCTGAAAAGGCAATACATGTAAAAGTCTAACAAAAGTTCAAGATTTTTGTAGCTACAGAATCCTTTAAGCTTTGCTTTACTTAAGTAGACTCTGCTGAGATGATATATCCATTTTCTTGCTCACAGGGTGAATGGAAGGAGCTCAGAAATTGCGCTTTGTGCCAAAACAACAAAAGTATTTAGATCAGTGGGGTAACAGATGCACGTGTCTCTTTTGTTCATGACCATGAATAGATGGTTTATAGTTTCCTTCCTTCTTCATCTGATTTTTGCTTCAAAAAAAAAAAAAAGCATATTTTGAGTACCTTTTCAGTTGTTGGGTATTTTGGATATTTTTTCCTCTTCCACTGTGTTAAAATTCTATGGAATTAAATTTTACTTTCCTATTATTTTATGTATTTGGATTTTTGCCCCACTAGTTATTTTGCTTTTGATTAGTAGGCATGTTTGACATTCCAAAGCAAATATACAAAGTTCATTGATCATTAAATAATGACATAGACATCATATGCAATTGGTCAGTCCTCATAAATCCTTGGCACATGGCCATAATGATGGCACAGGGTCCTGCAGCAGTCTCCCAGCTAAGATTCCTTTTTATTGTTCAAAACCAAATCATTTTCTTAAAGACAACACACACCAAATTTTATTACTAAATATTCTGCAAAACAAAATCATAGAACTGTGCAGAGTATAAAAAGTATTTTTTGGAAGACAGAAAAGGATGGAAGGAATAAATGGGGAGAGGAAAGAAGGAGAAGAGAGAGGGAGATGAATATTATATCAGAAGTCAGTAATTCTGGACTTGGATACAGCTTGGTTGATAGGGTGCTTGCCTAGCATTCAAGAAGTTCAGTTCCCAATGCCACACACACTTGTAATCCCAGGATTCCCAAAATGGAGGTAAGTGGATCAAAAGTTCCAGGTCATCCTCTGCTACCTTGTGGGTTTAACTTGAGCCTGGAATAATCAGGACAGTCTCAAAACCAAATATAATCAACCAGTAATTCCTTCTTGTAGTCTTACCAGACATATCATCTTGTAGAGGAAGTTTGGGGTAGCTAGAGTTAATCTGCCAGGGTTAGAGTCATTGTTGACTTCTGTGCCCTTACAAATGGTAACCAAACTTGCATCCCTCATAAGGCTCCTTCTCTGGTTATGAAGATAATAATACCTACCTAACTTTTTTTTGTGAAGAAAAAATTTAGAAACCATATGTAAGCACTTAAAAGGGTTCATAGTAACTGCTCAATAAATGTCAGGTTTTTATAATCTTAGTACCTGTTTCCACATCTCTAAGATAGTCGGGCTGGCCTAGGGAATCACCAAACTGTCTTCTAGACCTGATATTTATGGTTCCCAGACTTATTTCCCCTTTAGAGATGTGTTTTGGGTCTGAAATTGGAATGTTTATTATTTGCAATTTTATCAAAATGCCCCAGAATTAGTTTTGGAGACTAGAAAGATGAGTGAAAAATACTATAGTTACTAAGTTATGTAACAACTGATAAATGAATTAAATAAATAATCATGTAGGGATAAACATGTGTTTCATCAGTACTTAGAAAATAATTAAAAATTAATAGGTAAGGCCCAGTGTCACTGAGAAGTACAACATGTGTGACATAAATGAACCAAAATTTTGTAGCTTTGATAATTACAGAAAGTCAACAAAAATTTTGTTCCAAGCTTCTTGAAAAAGTTCATATTTATAATTGTCAGTGTATTGCTAGTTATATAAAAGTAGAAACTGACTTCTCAGCATTTTTGAAAATACATATATATTTATGTATTCACTGTGTGTGTGTGTGTGTGTGTGTGTGTGTGTGTGTGTGGTTTGCTGGTTGTTGAAAGCACATTTCCTCATGTTTCAAATTCTCTTATTTTTTTAAAGATTGAAATCTGCCAATTTTCTGCCTTCATCATTTTCCCAGCCAATGAATGACTCTGAGTCTGCTAGAATCAGAGTCAGCTTCTGGTTGAGACAGCTGACAGTTGGTTTGATGGATATGTATATCCAAAGGAAGCAAAAGAAAAAGGGGCCACACATAACCTGACACCCTTTTGTGTCTCTTCCTGGGGACAACACTTGCTGAGGCCAACTTTTCTCATCCTCCACATAAACATGGTCCTTTTGCCACAAAGCAAACAAAAATTTAAAAATATCAAAAATGAAATAATTGTTGGGTGGGGCAATGGTCAAATGAAGCTTCCTCGCCTCCCCTGTGAACAACCTCTATGAACTCAGATCTAGGCTGAGGGACCAGTTTTTCTCTCTCCTGGGATAACTGGTCTTCAGCCACCACAGTAGCTGAGATTAGACTCTGTAACTCCCATTCACATAAACATGGCCCTTGATCACTTTCCAGACTCAGCTCCGTACTTTCTGAGTTTTAGTGCCAGGAAGATCTGGCCGCCAGGTTTAGGAAGACAGAAAGACTTGTCCCAAAGGTTGACAAGGGTTAAGAAAAGGGCAGGCAGATCATGACAAGCTGGAGCCAGGGCAATATAAAGCTGACTGTCTCTCTTACTGAGAACACTATTATCTCCTAGGAACTTGGGTGTTGTGGGAAAAATATGTGAGTAGTTCTGGCTGGGCTGCAAATGATGGGGAAGTGGATTCTTACGACTTTATTTTTTGCACTGACATTTTCCTTCTTTGGCCACAGGAGACAATAACTTATCCCCGCAGTTGGCTGTCCTGTGTGGCAGAGATATTCCCGGGCCCATCCGGTCAACTGGAGAGTACATGTACATCCGCTTTACATCAGACTCCAGCATCACTAGCGCAGGCTTCAACGCCTCCTTTCACAAGAGTAATGTGGCCAAACATTTCCATTTAATTTCCTCCCCACTCCTCTTTCTCCCTTTTACCCTTCCTCCTTCACCCTTTTTCTCTTCTCCCTACCTTTCTTTTCTCTTAATTCTTTTATTTATTTATTTATTTTATATAACCAAGTCCATTTAAATGAAAACAAACATTTATAGACAATATTTGGGAATTTGGGTGTCGTTCTTTCCAAACTACTTCCTGCTGGTAAGGGGCACTGTCATGGGGGATTCGAAGAAGATTCAGAAATCCTGGCTGTAGTCTGAAGGGCTGCTGTGTCCAGCTGTTTGGAATGTAGGATCACCTGGTACTCTGTTTCAGGTGGTCTGGCTTGATCAAACCACATTAGTCTGGAAGGAATCCACAGCTTTTCATTTTCTGTGGAAACAAAAATAGAAATCCTTTTCCCCAGTAACTTGTCCTTGAACTTAAATTTTGGAGTCAAAGCATTTTTTTAATTTAATTTATTATTTTACATGTGGATCCCAGTTCCCTCTCCCTCCCTCCTTCCCTTCTCCCTCCTTCCCTCCCTCCTTCCCTCCCTTTTACCCTCTCTGCCCTCTCACATGAGCTCTAAACACCCTCCCCTCCCATCCCCCCACCCCAATTCCATATGTAGGGAAATGCCATCCAGTTGGGGTCATGTAGATCTGACAGGTCCTGTGAAGTAGGGACTAGGGCTTCTCTCCTGTCTCTAGATTAAGGCAGTTATCCCTCCATGGGGGATGTGTATGCAAAGTCCTTTTGTGCACCTTTCTTTCCTCTTTTTCTTGTATTTCTCCTTCCTCCCCTTTTCTCATCTCCCTTTGTCTTTCTCCTCCCCTCCCCTCCTTTTCCCTCTCCTCTAGTCTTCTTTTCTCTTTCTACCTAATCACCCACCTTATTTTCCCATGCTAAGACACAAGTTATAAATCAAGTCGCAGATACCTGTTACATCATGGTGTAAGGTACCAAGTCCACAGACAAACCAGAATTGTCCAGTTGTACAAGAGTGTCTCTTACTCTCAGGTGCTGAGTGGCATTCCCCACTTTGTGAGAAGTGTGCTTATGGTAGACACAAGAAAAAGATCTTTCAAATAGCTTTCACCCTGGCTAAGAGTTGGGACTAGAAGAGAATACACATTTATAGCCCATCTAAGGAACTATAGATACATGCTTATCCAACTTAAGAAATAGCGTGTAAACATGACATAGGAGAGACCTATATGAAGGCTTTGGTTGAAATCATAGGGGCTTGAGAAGTCATAGAATGGATGTAGTATATGAACTGCTCTAATGTGTCATATCATTGAGATTTCTCAATACTTGACAGCATGTGAAGTCTGTAATAACTTTGAAGCTCAGCTAGATTAACTTAAAAACATTGTCTATGTAGTACTGAAAGACGGTCATTTTGAAAAAAAAATTTAAATGGATTCTTAACCTAATATTAAAATTAATCTAGTAGTTTCTTTCCTGTTTAGATATAGCTTTTATCAGAACAGAGCAATCATAGGAAACTGATCTACCTTACACTCAATGGAAGCAGGCTATGCAGAGGATCAAGAGTGAGCCTTGGAATTAGAGCTCAAACAAATGTCTGCCTCTGCAATTTAACTTGTGTGAAGTTTCTTCATGTACTTGATGATATGCTGCCTAGTACTTGACGATGACAACTTAAGGCTTGCTTCACCATTCTTCCTGAACTCCCAATGTCTAATATAGATATAGCAAATCTATAGACAGATAGACAAGCAGATAAAAAATGACAGATGCATAGATAGATGATTGATTGATAGATGTGATAGATGGGTGGATGGATGGATAGACAGACAGTAGATTACTAGACAGAGTAGATTACTAGATAGATGATAGATACACAGATGATCTCCAATGCCTTTCCATTTTTACACAGTGGAGTAAGTCTGCTCTGTTTCTTATATAAGCTCACTAAGCTACTTTCTGAATTGCTTATGCTACCTCATCTAGCCTGAGTCCCAGTGATTCCCCTCTTATCACATCGAGCCTTTACACTGTTTTCTAGATTACAATGTTTGTCTTCGCTAAGCTTGCCTAGTTTCATTCCTTATTCCATCCAGGTCTCTGCTCAGCTATTAACTCTCTAACTTCCCTAGCATCAGAGTATGTTTTCCCCTCACTTTTATTTCTTGGACTTACTACTTACTACTATTTCACATAGTATACTGTAAAGCCAGTTTTTTTTTTTTTTTTTTTGTAAAAATAAATGGTCTTTTTTCCATGGCTTTAATCTTAATCACAACACTGTCAGTATCCAACAGTGTGTGCTCATTTAGTGGTTGTGCCTCTAGTAATTTCTTATACTTTGATCCCAGTTTCAAATTCCTCATCTGTTGCTTACATTTTAAAAATCCCCAATTTTGGGGTGGGTAGAAAAGTATGAAAACCTCATTGTCAATATTATTTAAATAACCTACCTTTCTTTTTCTTCTTTGGAAGGCTGTGGTGGATATTTGCATGCAGACAGAGGGATTATCACATCCCCCAAGTACCCAGATACCTACTTTCCCAATCTCAACTGCTCCTGGCATGTTCTGGTCCAGAGTGGTCTGACCATCGCTGTTCATTTTGAGCAACCTTTCCAGATTCAAAATAGAGACTCTTCTTGCAGCCAGGGGGATTATTTGATGGTAGGTCATGCTTGTTACTCTTTGTGTTAACTGTTTCTGCAGACTTAATTTTAACATTGTTATTATGCAAATTGGTAGGACATTTAACATTCTTTTGCAATATAAAGGGTGTTGCACAATTTTAATCTCTTTCCAGCTAAGAAATGGACCAGATATCCATTCTCCACCCTTGGGACCCTCTGGAGGAAATGGTCGTTTCTGTGGAATTTATACTCCATCAACTCTGTTCACCTCAGACAATGAAATGTTTGTTCAATTCATTTCTGATAATAGTAATGGTGGGCAAGGATTTAAGATCAAATATGAAGCAAAGAGTTTAGGTAAGTACTTCCCCTGAGAATTATATCTAAATTTTGCCTGAGATTGCTTGATTTTTTTTTTTTTTGGTTGAGATAGATTTTAGGGGAAAAATGCCATATTTTCTGAGGTAAAAGTTGTAGCATTAATAAGAACAGCTGCCTATGATCAATCCAGGACTTAGAGCATGCTGCCACTGTACACTAACTATTCTGCACGGTGCTTGTAAAGAAGAGTACAGTGTAGTCATTTCTACTTTACAGGTGAGTAAAGGAGGCTTTGAGTTTTCCAGGTTGTTTGTTTTGTTTTATTTTGTTTTTTTTTTCCAATTACTGGCAAAGTGAATTTTCCACGTGTAGAAAATGAACTGATCTTAATGGGCCCCTGAAATATTAAACTCTTTCTATGATGAAATGTCTAAGTTAAACTTAGTTACTGTAGCACAGTAAAGGCTTTGATTGACCCTCCCCCCCTTCATCATCCTTTGTGTTCTTCCTTTGTAGTAAATGCTGGTCTATGATTCTATTATTACTCATTCAGTTATTACTCATGTATTATTGTGGTGCAGCAGCAATCCTTATGTAATCATCCTTACTTAATTATGCTTATTTACAATTGTATTTAATTTTACTGTAATGATTTGATTTTTATGACATTTACTAGCACAACTAAATCTCTACTTGTCCCCTCAAATTCAATATCATAGATTCTTGAATATGCTTCAAAAGGTGAATTGATCGTAATGAAAATGGATTTTTTTGCTTGTTTTGTTTTGTTTCTTGTTGTTGCTATTACTGCTGCTGCTGTTGCTTGAAATAGGGCCACATATAGCCCAAGGGAGCTGGGAATTCTCTCTGTATCTGAAGGTAACCTTGAATCCATGATCCTCCTACCTTGATGCCCCAAATACTGGAATTGTAAGCATGTGCCCAACAGAAATCTTGTGTTTTACTACACAAGATGTGAGAGAATTCAGAATGGCAGCATCATTTCTTCATTTGTGAAAAGAGAAGGAAATAGAAATCTCTATTAATCATCCCCCCAAAGCATTTACAACTTGTGCAAGGCCCAAGACAAGCAGTGTGTGCAGTCCACCTCCTAGTGCATTAAGCGCTGTTAACAATCTGAGGGCAGCTGTGTTGCTGTTCAAGGTTGAAATTTTCTCTTATATCCCTGCCTTCGTGTTGGGATTCATAGTGAGTTTGAAAGGGCTGGTTTAAACTCCCTGCAAGACCCACTTTTCTACTTTGTTAATGATAGGATTAACCTTAATTCTGTGAAAGTTCAGATGGACTAAGTATATTTCCTTCTTAGCTCCTTTCTAGGCCCACCAGTCATGCATCTATGCTAGTTGCCATTATCATCTCCTTGCCTTTCCTCACACATATGACTGTTCTTAATATTAAGATCAAACAAAGGTCTTTTTGTTTTAAAAATTATTTTGCAGAAGCCCCAAGCAATATGGTCATGCTTTGCTTGTCTCCTCCTACTTCCTAAGCCAGACTTCTCCCTGTCTCTTCCCATTGTGTCTACCTCATACCATTTCCTATGTCTTAAATTATGTTTTGTGTGAATAGCTCTTAGCATCACTTGCTGAGCTTTATATATACCACCTTTCCCCAGAAACTTTTGTCTCCTCTGTAGTTGATTGAGTTTTCTATGGCCTTGTGCTAAATGTCTTTTATTCTCACCTGATTCATTGGCTTGTTAATTAGTTAGCTAAACATTTCTAAAGAGCTTCACACTGCACACACTACCAGATCCATCAAGAGACTCCATGCAATGAAGGAGACAAGCAGAGGCAGTTATTGTGCAACATAGTAAGTTCCAGATGGAAAAATGCTCCAGGATCTGTAATTACAGGAAAAAGTGTAGTTGGATATTTTCTCTGTCTCACCCAATTCCACTGGACCAGTTTCTCTCCTTTCTACTGGGTACCTACTGATACTTATGAAATAATTACTCAGAGGCTAATATTAAATTTATAATTCTTTGGCCAATGGCTTATGCTTATACTGACTAGATCTCACAATTAAAATAACCCATTTCTATTAATCTGTGTATTGCCACAAGGCTATGTCTTACCAATAATGTTCTGGCATGTTACTCCTTTGGTGGGTTTATGGCATCTCCCTGATTCCATCTTCCTTCTCTCTGCATCTTTGTTTGAAATTCCCACCTAGTTATATTTTGCCTGCCCATTGTCCTAAAAAGCTTTATTCATCTTCCAATAAAAGCAATGCATATTCGTGGCATATAGAAGGACATCCCACATCAGAGACGATCTATTCAACCAATGGGATCAGAGAAGAAAGGAGTGAGCAGAGATTTGTACTTTAGCAAAGACTAATGTAACATGAAACAGCTCAGCATTAGAAGACAAATTAGTTTTTCAAGAATTTACTGTGTGGGAGAATAGGGTCAAAAGGAGGTGACTCTGGTGATGAACCGCACATGTGCCTTGATGCTAAGGCCTATTAGAACTGCCCAAAGATAAGGTTTAAATACTGAAAGCTTTAAATGCAAAGTGCTCTGGCTTGAACTGAATGGAAACATAAACAGAGGCATGATTGGAAGAAGGAAGAACCCAGATAAAAGTGTCCTGAACTAAGGCAATGTCAGTAAGAAAGTAGGGAAGAGGCCATGTTGAAAGATGTTGTAAGTAGGGAATCCAGTGGATTTTCAGGTCGCTTGAAGACGGAAGCAGAGAGAGGAGATGAAAGAGTATGAGTAACAGCTAGGTGCAAACAAGGTGCAGGACTGATATATGTTCATCCTGAAATTCTTGAATTACATACCCTGAAGATGTCTGGTAGGCTTGGAAAAAGGAGAGAAGGTTTGGTCTAGCCTGGACTGATAGAGTGTGGGTAGCATTTTAAACCATGAAGATATGAGACAGCCAAGGAATTCTTTGGAATGGAAAGGTAGAAGACCTGCAGAAAGATTCCCAGGGCTCGTCAGCACTGTCCAGAAGCCCTGGCAGGAGACACAAGATGCCTGAGAAGGAATGCGAATAGAAGTAAAAGAAGAGTTTGATGTTTGATACGCTTAGAGTCACAGATGGAAAGAAGGAAATCATATTAAATGCAATAGGTATCATACCATAATTATAGAGAAGACATATCTGAGTATACAACTTGCAGGAGACAAGGGGGTGAAATAAGCATGCTGGATAAACTTGAAGGAAGGAAAAGTAAAAGGAAGGAATGAACAAAGGATAGAGGAAGGAGTAAGAGAGGAGAAGAGGAGAAAGAAGAGGTTGGATATGTAAGTACAGTAAGATTCCAAAGGGAGTAGATGGGAAGGGAAGATGATCCAGAGATACAGGAGTGTCATTGGAAGAGCTGACAGTTGCAAATGAATTTATTCTGAAGCATAACAAAGGAGGGATTAAAAGTTGGCACGACCCTTAGATGATTTGTTTTCTGTCTCAAATAGAATTGCATGTAGTACTAAGAATCCAAACATAGATACAGGGATAAGGGAGAAGGTTTAACAAGAGATTCTTTGAATGGCTGCTGAAGTTTGTTTGAGAAGTAACTAGCAGATTGCTCAACAGTCTTGAGACTGGATTAGGGCTCTATGATGACGGGTATTCATCAATCTGATTACAGAGGTAGGCCAGTTAGGGTATCCTCCCCCACTATTGCTAGGAGTCTTTGCTGGGGTCCTCCTTGTGGATTCTTGAGAGTTACCCTAGCACCAGGTTTCTCCTTAAGCCCATAGTGACTCAATCTATTAAGATATCTTTTTCATTGCTCTTCTACCATATCTCTCTCCCCTGAGGCCATCTCATTCCCTCATGTTCTCATCCTTCCTCCCCTCCCCCTTATCACTCCTTGCCCCCAGTTTGCCCTATAGATTTCATCTAATTTCTCTTTCCAGGGTGACCCATGTGACCTTCCTAGCGTGCTCTTTGATATCTTGTTCTCTGAATCTGTGTACTTTAGTCTGATATCCTTTGCTTTATATCTAATATTCATTTATGAGTGAATACATACTGTGTTTGTTCTTTGAATTTGTGTTACCTCACTCAAGATGGTTTTTACCATCCATTTGCCTGAAAATTTCATGAGGTCATCATTTTTTTTTTTAACCACTGAGTCCATTGCACAGATGTACCAACCACATTTTCCTTATTCATTCTTCAGTTGAGGGACATTTGGCTTGTTTCCAGGTTCTGGCTATTATGAATAATGCAGCTATGAACATTGTTGAGCAAATGCCCTTGTAGTATGACTGAGCATCCTTTGGGTAAATGTTCAAGGTGGTATTGCTGGATCTTAAGGTAGATTGATTTCCAATTTTCTTAGAAACTGCCATGTTGAAAAATGGCTGTGCTAGTTTTCACTCCCAGCAGCAGTGGAGGAGTGCTCTCCTGACTTTAAACATATTGAGATCCCAGGACTGTGGTAGGTGAAAGCTCACTGACCTGAGTTTTCAATGGGAAGTTATGGCTGCTTGCATACTTCCTTGGTCATCTAAGTGATGATGAAGGTGTATTTATTAATGCAGAAGCACAGCTCTCATATAAAAGGGAATAAAGAATATTTTTCTGGATTCCAAATATGACTGACCATATTTGGTCATCCTCAAATGCTTTGTTCCAAAATAGTAACGACTTCATGGAGATTTTATAGTAACAGAACAAAAGAAAGTCCTAGATCAAGGCACTTTTCAAATACATTGGAGGGAACAACAGGCAGATGGCTTATAATAAAGGAAATTTCTATTGTCCTCAGGTGCTCGTATGACATTCCTAACCTTTGGGTTGGTGAGGCTAGCAATCTATTAGTATTTCAAAAGGATTTACCTAATAGCCATGAAAATGGACATTAGATCAAATACAGGTGGACAATAAGTGACTACTAAGGAGGCTAAAGATAGTCCAAGATGATTTGACTCCAGACTACAACAGTCCAGCTCTGCAATCCTGGAAGTTGTACAAGGCAATCAACTTGGTAGAGCTTCAGTTTATGTGTTTGTGTGATGCTGCATATACTTTGCATTATGATTTTGTTAGCTTTAATGAAAAATACAATCTTCAATCAGAATAGATAATTTGGATGTGGGCATCGTGGTGTGTGCCTATAATGGGAGGTTCAACAATTCAAGGCAGCCTCGGTGACGTAGACAGACAGGGTTTAGCCAAGACTATCTCAAAAAGCAAACAAATGGGGTAGAAAGATGGGCCCGTGGTTAAGAGTGGTAGCTGTGATAGCTGCTTTTCCAGAGGACCTGGGTTCAATCCCCAGCATCCATGTGACAACTCACAGCTGTCTGTAACTCTCTGACCTCAAATGGCACCAAACATGCATGTGGTACATAGACATACATGTAGACAAAACACCCATACAAAAAAGGTAAAAAAATCAAATCAAATTAAAAAACAAACAAGCAACCCCACACATATACACATTTCAAAATAAAACACCTGACCTGACTCCCCCTAAAAAAGCAAAACAACAACAACAAAACAGACTAGATGGTTTGACAGAATAAAGAGGGACATACATGGTATCTCATTTTATAGGAAAGTCAAATTTTACTTGCTTAAAAAGAACATGAAGATAATTCAGATGACAGGAAAAATAAAGACAAATTGACTGTACACAGCAATTGTGTAGCTGATTATGTTCTCATTCCCCAGACTGTAGATTGATTTAACTGTTTCTTGACAGCCTGTGGAGGCAACATCTATATTCACGGTGCCGACTCGGATGGATATGTGACCTCCCCGAACTACCCTGCTAATTATCCCCAAAATGCTGAATGCATTTGGATCTTAGAGGCTCCTTCTGGGAAAAGTATACAGCTCCAGTTTGAAGATCAATTCAATATTGAAGAAACACCCAAGTAGGTCACCTAAATTTTAATGTTCTTCCAACCCAAAGTTAATACTTTTTTAGCTGCCATGTCCAAGACAACTTATTTCTTCTTTGCTCAGCGGGTACCCTGCCCAAAAAATGTAGAGACAAAGAGACAAGTAAATGTCTGAAGCCTCAAAGCCTTGCCTGGCAGCTACACCCATGTTGACCCTCAACACATCCTCCAAGAGACACTGGGGGTGACTAAGATGGATGACATTTGTTCTTCCTCCCACAGGGAAAAAAATACAACCTCTTTTAGATAAGCATTTTTTTTCTCCAGACTCATATTGTCACAGGTAATAGATACCTGCTTAACAAATAATTTGTGTGGTGTGACACTAGAGGCCACCAGTGCCACAAACAGCACTAAGGCAAGAACTCTACATTTCCCAGACTCATTTGCATCAGGATTCTTAAAGGGTCACTACTCAGGGGCATGTATGACTCTGCTGAAAACCAAGGAAAATTACATAGTCTGTGACAACAAAGCAAAATTACAAGCTGACACAAAGATCTATAGTTTGTTTATTCTTTTATCTAAAATATTTCTACATTTACATGAGTGGATGCATGTCACAACACAGCTACTGATCGTCATTTTTGTGACACTGAATGTTTTTCCAGAAACTAGCATTGACTCTCTAGTTTGACTTTATTAGGAAACATTAGTAAAAGCTTGTCTTCTTTTATGAACATAGAGAGTACAGCTGTGACCCATAGTAGCCATAGTCATCGGGCTTCCAAGAGAGGTCCATCTTTCTCATGTGGAATATACCTAAGTATCATGTCTCATAAATTCTACTTTAGCTGAATCCATAGTCCTTCTGAAATGACTTTTATGTTTGCAAGACAAATACAGAGTATGTAAAGAACTATCTCCCATTTAATACTGCCATGAAGCTTAAAGAGCCTTAGTCACATTATCTTATAATACAGAAATGATGACTAAATATTGTCCTTGAAGAAAGAAGTCTTGACTAACAATATAAGTCCAAGTAACTGGTTTTGTAAAAATGATAATTTATTTCTGCTAGCTGTTCTTCGAGCTACCTTGAATTGCGCGATGGAGCTGACTCAAGTGCACGTGTGCTTTCCAAATTGTGTGGGCACTCCTTGCCTAGTAGCTGGGTATCGTCAAGAGAACTTATGTACCTGAAATTCCACACTGACAGTGGTTCCAGCTACATGGGATTCAAAGCCAAGTATTCCATAGGTAATGTTTTATTTTCAAACAGGAAAACAGTGGTTTGGGGAAACACTAAAGCCTAACCATACCCTGCCTCTCATCTGCCTAATTTTAAGACTCGGAAGAAAGAAAAAGGTTACATGTAAACTCACAATGTCATCACCAGTTTTTAAGTTACTTTATATTACATTAAAGTGCAATTTTTATTTAAACTTTAGTATTTTATATTTCCCTAGCTTGTATATAAAAGGTATTTTCAGTTATATCAAACTATGTTTCTATCCCTTACCACAATTACACTTTTTTTTTTTTTTTTTTTTTTTTTTTTTTTTTTTTGCATATAGAGTATTTTTTATTTAATTTTATATAACAAAGTCCAATTAAATGAAAACAAACATTTATACACAATATTTGGGAATTTGGGCGTCGTTCTTTCCAAACTACTTCCTGCTGGTAAGGGGCGCTGTCTTGGGGGATTCGAAGAAGATTCAGATATCCTAGCTGTAGTCTGTAGGGCTGTTTTGTCCAGCTGTTTGGAATGTAGGATCAGCTTGTACTCTGTTTCAGGCGGTCTGGTGTGATCAAACCACATTAGTCTGGAAGGAATCCACATCTTTTCATTTTCTGTGGAAACAAAAATAGAAATACTTTTCCCCAGTAACTTGTTCTTCAACTTAAATTTTGGAGTCAAAGCGGTTTTTTTTTTTTTTTTTTTTTTTTTTTTTATTATTATTTTACATGTCGATCCCAGTTCCCTCTCCCTCCCTCCCCTCCCTCCCCCCCAAGCCCTCCCTCCCTCCTTCCCTCCCTTTTGCCCTCTCTACCCTCTCCCATGCACTCTAAACACCCTCCCCTCCCAACCCCCCACCACAATACAATATGTAGGGGAATGCCATCCAGTTGGGGTCATGTAGATCTGACAGGTCCTGTGAAGTAGGGACTAGGGCTTCTCTCCTATCTCTAGAATAAGGCAGTTATCCCTCCATGGGGGATATGTTTGCAAAGTCCTTTTGTGCACCAGGGATACATCCTGGCTCCACTGTCTGAGGTCTCTTAGACTGCTCAGACCTTCTGGCTGAGACCCATATTCAGGGGAGTCCGAGTCAGACCCCTGTTGGCTTCCCAGCTATCAGTCTAGTGGCCCTTAGCTCCTCCTTGTTCAGGTAAGCTGTCTCTATGTACTTCTACCGCATGGTCTTGTCCTCTCCATCTGCTTCTGGGTTCTAGTTTGACTCAGTGTTTATGTATGGGTGTTTGCTCCTGTTTTCAACAGGCATTAGTTGAGGACTCCATGGAGAAGTTAGTTGTTGATCTCACTCTCCGGGAAGGGCATTTATGATAGCCTTTCCACGGAAGCTGAGATTGTTAGTTGGGAGCAGTCTTGTAGTTCCTTCGACCTTTCTTTGTGTTCAACTTTATCTTCAAACCAATATTGGCTCCCTCTTTTATGTTCTCTCTCTCTGTCTCTCTCTCTCTTTCCTATTTTCCATTCCTAACCAGGCTCAATCCTCCTAGTCGCACATGCCTTCCTCTCCTCCCTCTCATTTTCTCCTACTTCTCTCTCCATTAGCTGTCCTCCCCCACTATACCTGAGGTCTGGGGGACTTGTCCCTTCCCAGTTCTGTGAGGGACTTTATATGAATCTCTTAGAATACAACTCCACAATTACACTTGTACGATGACTTAGAACACCAAACATCCATGGAATAGTCCAGCCTTTTCCTTCCAAATATCTAATGCCAAGCCAGTCATCAATGAAAACCACATTATTCCCCTGGAGTTTGGTTTATTTATTTTTAAAAATGAGCTATAAACATATATATTGCAGATTCACTCCAAGTATATAATGCCACATATCATATATAATTTAGTGTCAGGTGGGTCTGAACTCTCAAAAAGTATGTAAATCAGCAAAAGCTCAGAAAGTCTAGTTTTCAGTATGCAATCTATACAATTTACCTTATATCCTAAGCTTTATTATATATATATATATATATATATATATATATGTTAATCTAGATCTCACATTCAACTGATAAACAATAACTAAAACAGGAATTTTCAAGCTCTAAGATACTATTTACTACAGTGCAATATGTACTTACAGTTAACCTAGAGAGGTAGACACCAGCAATTACTGGTCAACCATTGCCCCTTCCAGAAGAGTGCAGACAGTGTTTGGAATCAGCAGCAAAGGGTACCAGGCAGGTCTTTTTACCCTACCACTTGGATGAAATTTACATACAAGTAATAGTTCTTACATGCTGTACCAAAAGAATGGATGTGATGTTACAGAATGTGACATTCCATAGTCATCTTCCATTTCTCACACTGAGTAGATTTGAGGTATTTTTCTTTCTATCCACAGTAGATTTTAAATATTAGGAAAACTTTAAGCAAACATTTTCAGATTTTTTTTTCAACTTCTGTTAATGCTCACTTGGCTCCTAAAAGTTCTAAATTATACAGGTTTCATTCTGTAATCCATAATAGAATATCATTTGTGTATGTGTGTTTTGCAGCCCCATGTGGAGGAACAGTCTCAGGGGAAAATGGAGTGATCGAGAGCATTGGATATCCAACCCTTCCCTATCCAAACAATGTGTTTTGTGAGTGGCATCTCCGGGGCATCCCAGGACACTATCTTACCATCCATTTTGAAGATTTTAATCTTCAGAGATCCCCTGGTTGTGCAAAAGACTTCGTGGAGATCTGGGAAAACCATACCTTTGGTAAGTAAAATACTGCTTTCTTTGGGGGTGTTTACTTCTTAATCAATTTATTGAACCTCTGAAGTATCTTTTCTTCTGAGAAGGGCAAAGATGTATCTGATGTCATCTGATAAATGCAGATTCATGGGCCCTGATCAAGACCAGAGGATCTTTTCCATGATTCTAACAGATAAAAATGGATGTTCATTATCGCTATAGCCATTCTTTAATCATCTAGGAGAGCACACTGAAAGAGCCTTGTACTGAGACACCATCCTCCTCCTGTGGCGGCCCCAATGTGCCACATGTGGTTAATGGAGGAGTCTCCTGAAGCATAAGGACAGGGAAAGATAGTACATATCATATAACAGTGCAAGAGGCACTTGGATCATTTCTTTAACCATATGAGCAGCCTTCCTCACTAGGCTGAGATAGACTTACCCTAATTGGCTCTACTCTTTATACATCTGCATATATTTGAATATATTGACTTTTGTTCATGATTTTCATAACAGTGGTTGCCATTTCTTCATGGACAAAGGATTATCTCTTAAGATTTTCTGTGTCTATGCAAAACAATTTAAGTAAACACTGACAGAAATAAATCACTTGGGCATGTATGTAATCAATTCTTTGGCCATTACAGGAAATATTTTGGGCAGGTTTTGTGGAAACTCCATTCCTGGCAGTATTGACACTTCTAGCAATGTCGCTTCAGTCAGGTTTGTCACAGATGGCTCTGTCACTGCCTCGGGATTTAGGCTGCAGTTTAAGTCCAGCAGAGAAGGTAAGTTCAATGACTTATTAGAAAAAGTACTGATCTAAAGGATAGGCAGTTCACTAGGCACTGATATCATAATGATTTGAAAAAACAAAATGCGATTCTGTCTTCTTGACTCTTTTGAGAAGCTGAAAGCCAGGTGCTAATAAGCAATTACCAATTAATGAAAACTTACCACTGGAATGAATGCTGCAAAGGAAAGTAACATATGATGAAAGATGCAGAGAGGAGACATGGCTTCTCTATAAAAACCACCTTGAGAGACTGGTACATTGCAATTCCCTAGAGCTATTAAGAATTCATATTCCTAAATGCCCTGATGAACTCAGGTGAAACAAAGGTCCCACAGAAAAACAGAATAATGACTTTAGCTTTCCTAAGTCTGCTATACTGCTATATTTAGTGTGTGTGTGTGTGTGTGTGTGTGTGTGTGTGTGTGTGTGTGTGTGTGTTTTATACATCCTGAGCTCTGATAACAATTTAAGTTCTGCCAGTGGACTGTTTTCCATGGAAGCAAATGTTAAGTATTGACAGAGACAAGAACTGAATGCAGATATAAATACAAGCAGTCAATAAATGAATACAGATGAGCATTCTCATACGTGTGAAGACAAAAAATGTGGCCAATAATTTTGTCTAGATGGGTCATTAAGAACTAATTTTTAAAAGCATCTCTTATGAAAAGAGACATTTTGATTTAATTTTTTTTTCTTTCTGTCTTTCAGTGTGTGGTGGGAATTTGCGTGGCACTACTGGAACATTTACTTCTCCCCACTACCCAAACCCAAATCTTCATGCCTGGATCTGCGAGTGGACAATCACTGTACCAGAAAACAGGAGGGTTATCCTAACCTTTACCAACTTGAGGCTGACCAACCATCCATCCTGTGACAATGAGCACCTCATAGTAAGTGTTCTCTGCAGGCCGGGCACTGTGAGCCATTATGTTTGGAGTGTATTCACCAAAGTGGTAATATGAAAACCCAATCAAACTATTACCACCTGTGTAAGTACATTTCAGACAAATTCTGAGTAGTTTAGATAGAACACAATCAGCACATGCTGCTTTCAGAGACTGTCATCCATCACTGTATGCACAAAGGTTAAAAGATAGTTTTCAGAGCAAACCATCATTTCATATGATGAACAAGAATAAGCAGATCACAACTAAGCACACAGGCAAGCTTCATCGGTCTCAGCACAAGCAGATGAGTGCTCCTACATAATCTCATTCTCTACCAGAGGTATTGGGTAGAAAGCCTGCATTGTAGCCAACTTCAAATGTGAGAGGCATGCCCTCCACATTCTTAGCTCCCCTCAGCTGAAGAAAACAAATGAGGCCCATTAGTATGGATAACAAATACCTTGTTGACTGGAAAGTGTGTGTTGACTCTGTGTGTGTGTGTATCAACATATACATTTGTACAACACATATGCATACATACATGTACTTATCAAAGTAGCTGTATGTAGATTAATAGGCTACCAAGTGGAACTAATGTTAGTATACTTCTCTACCCATCCTGCTTTCTTCTTCATTCTTTTTTGTTTTGTTTTCTTTGTTTTGTGTTTTCAAGAGAGGGTGTCACTATGTAGCCCTGACTGTCCTGGGATTTGCTCTAGACCAGACTAGTCTGAAAGTCAGAGATCTACCTGCCTATTCCTCCTGAGTGGTATTAAAGTATTAAAGGCATGTGCCACCATGTCTGATCTACTAAGTCTTTCTTATCTGAGTAAATAATTTTTCCAATGGCTCAAGGAAACAATCTTGATGTTTATTTTGGAGTTATAGCTCTTACAGCCATCTGTACACAAGAACCATTGGTTGTGCCTTAGAAAACAACCAGCTCTAACATCTGTCTACCCACTGCTACTGCATCATTCTTCACTTGAACTATTCCAACAGTTGCAGCTGGCCCCTGTTTCTAGCTTTGTCTTCCCACATTCTCAGCACAGCAATCAGAATAATGGTTTCCCATCTAAACAAAATTGTATTGAGTATAGGATTCTGGCTTGTATAAAGGCTTGGGCTCAACCCTAAGCAATGGAAAAGCAATGCTTAATCATATCATATCACTTTCTCTTTGAAAAATCCTCCCATGATCTTTCATCTCATTCTGATGAATCCCAAACTCTATCAATGCCCACTCAGTCAGACAGTACCTGCCAGTCCTCCATCTCCCTATCCCTCTGCCTTACCTGCCCCCACCTCCTATGACCCAAGCTTCTCTTTTGTCTCTTGCTTATGCTAACAGGCTCCAATACCAGGCCTTAATGGTCCATTATGGCCTCTATCTAAATTGTTCATCCCAATATGGTTGCCTGGTTGACTTTTCACTTCCTTTGGATCTCTATTCTAGTGACTGACCCACACCACCTCACTAAGACCCTACATAAAGCAAACCCCACCTTCACTTGGCCCTCCCCTGTGTTGTCCTTCATAGTATTTCATGCCAGCTCTGAGGGCCAGAACTCAGTTTCCTTCAGTGAATTCCCAAGGCCTCTATACTCCTGGAGATAAAAGTTTAATGAAAGAATTGTAGAAATAACATTGTTGGCTTTTAAGAAATAAAAAAGCACTTTTGTTTTCAGTTTAGTTGTTTGCTGCTGAATAGTAAATCCCAAAGATAAAGCCTCCCATGGCATCCCCTCATCACTCTCTATTACTCTAAAATCACCTCAGTTAGCCTTCAGATTATTGTCTAAGTTCTAATAGCTAAAGTGCTGGAATGTTTTTTCCCAGATACTCAGCATGGAACCAGTATGTATGTTTTTCAAATGTTTGAGAGCCAGGAAGTGCTGGATTATATTTTAGTTTTCTCTCTGTCTCTCTTTTGTTTTTTAGGGGTTTTTGTTGTTGTTGTTGTTTTTTGTTTTTTGTTTTTATTTTTGTTTTTTTTTTTTTGAGACAAGGTGTCAAGTAGCCCAGGCTGGCTTAGAACTCAATTTGTACCCAAGGATGACCTTGAATTTCTGATCTTCCAGCTCCACACTTCCAGAGTAACGCACCACAAATCTGTTTATATGGTGCTAGGAATTGAACTCAGGACCCTGTGCATTCTAAGTAACTGAATTATGTCACCATCACAGGATTGTTGATTTTTAAATTACTTTTTATTTATATCTTTATTGTGCATGTATGTTTATGGAAGTCTACATGCTATATCACTCGCGTGAAGGTTAGGCTCGGAGACAGACACCTTAATACTCAGCCATTTTGTGGCCCAAAGTTGTTAGTTATAAAGAAATAGTTTTCCTATTACTTATTGCATAAGTATATAAACAAAGACAAAGGAGAAAAAAAAAGAGATTAAACACTCCCAGTGTACTATATTTTTATGTACTGAATGTTTTTTCTGGCTCCTGCATAATTTTATGTAGTTTTAACAAAGCAATATAAATTCCCTTGAATACTAGTCTGTACATGACCTACAGGAAAGACAAAATGAGTCACAATTTTAGAACTCAAATAATAAAATAAAATTTATACAGATTGCAAAACTAGCTCTTACTTATGACCTCTCTGCTCCTAATCATTGAAGCCAGACGCATCCATTCTCTAGGAGTCTAGCTATTTCTTGTAGCATTTTTGACATTGTATCCAGCTAACATTCCTATTCTGCACATCTTCAATTAGTCTTGGGTGTTGTGGCTCTGTATTAGCCATATATGGCATGTTGCTGTGCCATATGTGGGGGGGGGCTGTTTTGGGAGCTTCAGTCAGAATCAGGTGATTTTTCCCTGATTTGTACCTGAGTGGGGGAGTATGGATTGAGAAAGGGCAGATAAAGATGCTTAAGAGAAAGACAGAGACACAGGATAGAGTCAGGAAGGCAATACAGTGAATACTGAACACCCCAAGTTTATTCTTCATCATTCTTAAATACTTTAACCAAAACAGGGGAACATGGTGTCATGCATATGGAACAAACAGACTTTCTTCCTCAATTCTCCAAAGATTCAGTAACCACACTTTAGATTCAATTTCTTATTATCTGGCTTTGAAGTTCAAGAGTAACCACACCTCATACCAAGACTGTTGTTATTTAGATAAGACACCCAAAGCCAAGATCAAACATCCTACTGAAGCCATGCCTTAGACCTTTAGGTCTTATGACTTACTAAGGACAGTTTTGAACTCTCTCCCTTGAGCCAAGATGAAGCAGTCATTTTTACAGGCCCCAACAGGATGTCATCTACCCACATCCTTCTAAAGAATCTGAGGAGTTAGCTCCCTCCCATGAGATGAGCACACAGGGAACCCACAGTTCCCATATTCTACCAACTTCCCTACAAAACACACATGTCATATAGCTTCCACAGTCGTGGCCCTTTGCTATTAAATCTGGGTGATTATGGAAACTGTGTTCAAGTTAAGCCAGGCAATATGCTGTGGCCACATTTCCCTTTTGATTTTTCAAATAGCATTAACATTTTATGGGTGTTAGTCACTAATTGTTCTGCAAATGCTTGTCCATCTGTAGCAATCCTGATGGAGCTATTGTTATGGGATTTCCCGGTACCATCATGTTTGTAGCCTCTTCATTCCCTTCTGGACTGGCCTCCTGGCTTTATGATGCTGTACATTTCCTTTCTTAGTCAGTTTCCTGTTTTTGTGTGTGTGAGAGAAACATATGCTCTTGGAACTCCCTAAGGACATGCATGTGAATGATAACTTTTGAATACTTGTATGATTCCTGCTGTACCATAATCATTTGAATGCACATATTAGTTGTAATTTGAAGTTTCATATTACTGCTATTAAGTTTCATGTTTCCTTCAGGTTCCATCTCTATTCATATTGGTCTCTGCATTTTGTATTATATGCTTCCCCAGAGCTCTGGTTGGTCATCATTCATATTTAAGAAAAGTGTGCAGAAGCTGACTGGCAGCTCTGCACACACACTTGAACCTGGTAACTGGGACTTTGTGGAAGTGACTAGTTACAGACCTTGTCCTGTAATTAGCAATCTGCAAATATCACAGCTTCAGATCTTTCTTCATTTCTGCAGGAGGATGTCCAAATTCCATTTCTGTAAAACATGTTTATGTGTTGGTGTTCACTTTTGCCTTTTGTTCTAAACAAGTGTTTGAGTTGCCTTTTGCCACCCTCTGTGTACTTGAATGCTTATCCAAAAAGAAGGAAAGAAAACCTAAGATCTGCAAGTAGCATGGGGAGCTTTAAGCATACTGCTATTTGTTGAACACCACACCCAGCTGGACTGAACTTGAAAGTCCTCCAAATCCAACAACCAATCTGATGACTCAGAAGGAGGAAATGAAAGGCTGTGCCACACAGTGTGGGGGATCATGAGACGAATGTCCAATTTTGTTCCTGCTCATAGCAGCTCATATCTTGTCTTGACTATCATGTGTCTGCTCCTTCCTTATGTCTTCTGAGGTTTGTAGTTTCTGACCACAAAGACATTGGAGGACAAGACAGGAGCTCACACTCTGGTTGCTTCTAACTGGAGAAAGAAGTCCACATACTAACTGGTGACTGAACACGTTCTAGTCATTCCAGTTCTATGCTGGGGTCAGATACATAAGGAGGCAGCAAAAACCATTGATCATTGCCTACAACATGCTTCATCAGTCTTGTATTTGGGTTATATTACCCAGTCTTGTTCATAGTAGGATGAACTATGAATTGTCTTTTGCTGCCTTTGCTTTGTGGTTTGATGTTGGAATTTTATTCCAAATTCAAATATTCCTAGTTCTTGGAATTTCAGCAAACTACAAATCTCTGTACTGTCTGAATTTGAAAAGTGGAGTCCTAGTCCATGTCTGAGAGGGAGCAGCATGGTAATGATGAGATAAGATAATCTGAGTAGGCAATTAGCAGCATCTGGCTTTGTGTCTGCACAAGAAATGATGGGAAGCTTTCCTCTGGCCCTGTAGCTAGAAGGCATTTTAAATCAGAAACCCCCAAAGAGCTATGTTCAGTCATTAATTACAGTAAGAGGAAAAGCTTGCAGCCCTTGGAGTAGAGCATGTCCTTCTTCCTCAAAGCTTTTAGGCTGATATTACCAATTGTGAGCCATTCAAATCCTTTTAAAGATTAGACATATCAATTACTGAGTAAATTGCTGTTTATTTTTTTTTTAGAAACTCTTCTGAGTGCTGAAAAGGGTTCACAAGGCTTTGTGCAGAAGCAGTCACCTTAACCAGTTGTAACTGAAACTGTTAATTGTACTTTGATACCAATAAAAATACAGTTTTTAAAAGTCAAATGAGTAAGAGCACACCAATTAGTTGTTGTAATTATATTATAATCTCAAAAATAAAGACTAAAATAAAAAGTTAAGTCAAGTGACTAAGAATGTAGCTTTGAACCTGTAAATTATCAAGAAAGAGGCATTATATCTACACAAAGATAGATTTAATTTTTAAATTGCTTTTTTAAAGGTGCAGTGATTAAGTACATGAGTAGTTCCCAGCACACACTTTGGGCAATCACAGCTGCTTATAACTCCAGCTCTCCAGGCAAATCCAATGGCCCTGGCCTTCTGGCTTCTGCTAGCACCTGCACACACATGCACAGAGCCACACCCAGATATGCACAAGTACACCTAGTTAAAAGCAACACAGAAAAATCGTTTAAAAGTACTTCTTAATGTATTTAGAGTAGAAATCCTCTAAAGCTAACTTTCAACTTAAGTGTGTTAAAGTTTCCAAGGCACAATGAACAAGACTGCATGTCAGCAAACTGAGAACTATGAAGAAGGCAGAGTGGCACATTTACTTCACATGTAGAGCAGCCTCTCATCTGTGACCTATGGGAGGAGGACAGTTACAAATCTTTCATTTTCTTGACATGACCCTAATACCAAAGAATAAGCTTGGGGCAGCTCAGTGGCTTGCCATCCTAGGAGAGAACTATTTCTGTGCTGTTGACTGTGGTCTCCTTAGAAGGATGAGTCTGGGCTGAGATGGTCATCTTCTGAGGGATATTGCAGCACAGCTACAAGTCAAACTATTTTTCTAACAGGTATTCAATGGCATTAGAAGTAACTCACCACAGCTACAGAAACTGTGCAGCCGTGTTAATGTAACCACTGAGTTCAGATCTACTGGAAACACAATGAAGGTCTTATTTTTCACTGATGGATCCCGGCCGTATGGAGGGTTCACTGCTTCCTATACCTCCATTGAAGACGCAGGTAATGTAGGATGCTGCAAAACACCTCCCTCGGTCAGACTCACTCAGTGGCCCCCAAACACTGCCCCAAACAGTCAAGCCCAAGCCTTCTGTCTCCCCCCCCCCCCCGCAGTGGTCAAAGTATACCTGGGCTCTTCAACACAAGAGCAACATTTTTGAGTGAGCAGAAAATTTGCTTTGTGGGGGGGGGTTGGGGGAGCAACCATTGTAGTTTCAGGAAAAAAAAATGTATTTTGAATTTTTTTACAACAAAATTTTATTAGATTATTTTTTTAGCATGATTCCATGTAATATCACTGCTAGAATTGAATCTGAATGCACAGACCCTGATTCATTATGTAATTCAAGAAAATACCTACTTCCTAGGTAACAGTACCACAGAGTACCTAATTCCACAGATAATTGAATACACATTATTGGTTTTTGCTCACCTACCTACATGTGTATATTCAGTGAAATGAATAAGCCAAGCTGTATTTAGTATAGATTATCCCAAAATTAAACAACGTGTGGCCTGGATTATAAATATCCACTGCCTTTTAGGTCTGGTGCCATTATCCAAGGGTTTTGTATTTTAGGAAGAAAGAAAGTAAATACATCTTTAAAAAATTGTTTATTTTATTGGTTTAGGAAACATTCATAACCATATTAAAAAGAGTGGGTTTGTTGGCACTCCAGTGTTATATTATTTAGTTGACGCAAATAATTATTGGATCAAATAGAAAATTGTTCATCAAAAGCCAGAATGATCTACCAGTGTTTGTGTATTTTTCTAAATTAAATACTGAATGAATAATACGTGTAAACTTGGAGATATTGATACACAATCAAACCACAGCCATCTTCTCTATTCCAGAAGCAAAATAAAGGAACTTTGTTTTGTGTATCTTTCCTTCATGGACTCATAGGCATTCTTCCTATAGTTTGTATATCCTTTGTCTATAAACCTGACTACATCTAGAAAAGCAAACCCACTGTTTATTATTTCATTCATTGAGCCTTGATTGTTGAAATCGTCTGTTACAGCATGGATCTTATTACTCTCTCTGTGCCTTTTATTACCTTAGTGTGTGGTGGATCTCTTCCAAGTGTCTCTGGTAGAAACTTCACTTCTCCTGGCTATAATGGAATCCGTGATTATGCAAAGAACCTAGACTGTGAATGGACTCTCAGTAACCCAAATCGGGAAAATTCATCCATTGTTATCCATTTTGTAACATTTTCCCTTGAACGTCATCAAGACTGTGCATCTGATGTCCTTGAGTTTCGAGTGGGTGAGTTCAATCAAAGAATATGTTTTCTTATTTATCTGCATATTCTTCCTATTCCTGGAGACAATAGCAGGAGTCAAATGGCTACTATCTCAGTAAACAAGTTACAAAGGAGCTTTGTGAATGCAAAGCTGAAATCCTGTGTTCCCAGATAGGAAATGTGACCCAAGAACTGTGAGTGAAGTGGGGCCTTAGCAGGAAGAGTTCATATCTCAGGGTTCCTGTGTGGGAGGCTCACCCAAGTGGCTTCCAGCTAGTCCCTGTCCTATTAGTGTGCTCCACTAGCCCTCAGGAACTAAGCTTGGAGTGATCTGACACTGGAAGTCATTTCTTGAACTTGCAGGATTCAGAAGGAGGTTGTTCAATTTTTGTTTTTTTGGTTTTTTTTTTTAATTTTTTTTTTTTTTTTTTTTTGCCTTAGAATTTTAAAAACCTCCTACACTGTAACAATGTGGAACTGTTTTGGGGACTGTTTAGAACTGTACCATGGGAGATGTTTGGGGAATTATCCTCAAAAAGTCATTGTTCTTTTTTTTTTTTTTTTCATGATAGAAAAAGATCAAGGCACATCTGATGAATCAAACTTCTCTTCGGAATTTTTTAAAAACTTTGTGTTTATGGACAGTTCCTTCTTAGAGCTCAGGCACAGATGATGCAATAAGGGTTCCTCCATTGTCACACTGACACATGCTTCCTTGTAAGAAAATAAGTAGTCAGAAGAGGAAAATAATAGTACAGTGCTCCATACCATCAAATGTTGATTGTGTTCTCCTTAATGCCCAACACTAAAGAAAAGAAAGCTGAAAGTGGATAGCTATAATAACCAGTGGTATTTATTTATAATACACATAATGTAGACATATGTTATATACTATACTATATATTATTATTGTCATTGTGTTGTTTTTAACACCTTTTATTTTAGGGGAGGAAGTTATTCTGCAAAGGTCTTTCATAAACATTTGGGTGGCAGAGAAATAGGGGAATTACAGAGAAGAGTAACAATGTTAATGTGGCTACACAAATGATATTAAACAGCAAGTAAGAATCAGTTGTGTCTATGCAGAAAAAAATGGTATAATATCATATGTGATGATTATAATTGTGTGGTGTTGTCTGGATGGGTAGCATATAAAATAAAATTTAAGAAATCAAATGGGTTACTGAATGCATTCTCCCTCTACATTTTAAAGATCATTTCTATACAGTCTTAAATAAAACAAGGTAGTTCTGAGATGGATCGCAGCAACCCTGCACCAAGGCTGACATTGAGAACATCTGGCAGTCACTGATGGCCTCCTTTGAGAACATGGAAAGCAGGGCTTTTATGAAGGGCTTTGATATAATCTTGGGTCACAGACCAGGGATTCTTACAAGAGAATCATCCCTGCTCTCTGAGGCCCATGAGTATAAATATGGAAATGGCTATTTAAGAATGCTGTCTGTGAAACACTGATAAACGCTACCTCTACCTGCTGCCAGGCCATTCATAGAATTAAGAGGACAGTTGCATAATATTCAATTTCAGTCAGTGAAACTTGATCTTCTCTTCATGCCCCTTGATTTACAGAGAGTAGACATACTCTATTTTGTTGATCTATAAGGTCAGTGGTGTCCATCTGACAGAATAAATAGGGAGCAAATAAGTGTGCACTCTCCAGGTACTCTGTAAATGTTAATTTAATTTCTGGGAAAAGCAATCTTCATGAAATTTGTTCAAGTCAACCCTGACAGTTCTTGGCCCCAGTGCTGAGTATTCTGTTCATTTTAGATGATCAAATGCAGTGAAGAGTCTTGAGACGTTTGAGCAATCATCACCTTTATCCTAGGAGTGTATTTGTTACCACTATTGGCATTACATTCCTTCTCCCTTACAAACCACATAGCTAAAGGGGGTATTAATTTGATTGCATTTCTGTTTAGATATGTGGAAGTTGTTTTGAAGACATAGATTGGCACTGATAGTCAAGGCACCCAGTGTGTCAGAGAACTCTTTTGTGTGTAATTGACAAAAATTCTTTTGAAATGTCTGCTACTCAACTAGGATTGAAAAAATATCAAGGAGTACGTTTTGTTTTTATTGTTTGTTCCTATTAATTAAAGGTATTTGTCTGAAAGCCTGCAAATAATGTCACTTGGCATATTTTGACCAGGTGATGCTGATGGACCCCTGATAGAGAAGTTTTGCAGCTTTTCAGCACCAGCAGTACCCTTGGTTATCCCCTACTCCCAGGTGTGGATACACTTTGTCACCAACGACCGTGTAGAATATATTGGATTCAATATAGAATACTCCTTTACAGGTAAGCCTGAAAGATATTACATATAGCTTTATAGATTTATGCATTTATACAATAGTTTCATTGATAATTTTGGTAAAATATTTCAGGTTTTATATGTTTTTATATATTTGTCTTTATTCCAGGGACCCTAATCTAGTCTTATAGTTTTATGACCTTGATCCCTATGTTTCTCTGTGTAGACAATTCTGTCTTCTTCAATCTACAGTCTTTTTGTTTTGTTTTATATGGTTTGGCTTGGTCTCCAAGCTTGGTCTCCAATTTACATTGACATGTTTTCTCTTGTAAACCATTCTTACATTTTAGGATAAATCCTCCATGGTCAGAGTTTATGTTTTATTCAGATTTCTGCATATTTCTAATAATTTTGTTAGACCTTTATGTGTGACATTCAGAGTTTCTATGTAAAAATTCAGAGGTGGGTTATCTTGCTTACCAGAGATTTTTCTTTTGTTTTGTTTTGTTTGTTTGTTTTTGTTTTGTTCTACCTCCTTTCACTAGCATGGTAATCCTTTCATATTTTTGACAATATTTCCTTTTGTGAAAGTCTAAAATCATACTTCCTTTTCCTGCTTTGTCTCCAAAACCTTAATTCCCACCCCTAAGTCCATGTCTTCCTCAAAACCCTCTGCATCTGCCACACTTTCCATTTGGCATTGCTCCTCTGTGTTTGAGTTACTTCATGTCGACAGACTTTAGAATCCCACTTCTCTTTCTGTTGAGTTTGACTGGGAATCAACAAACACTTTGCTGTAGTCTTATGTATGTTCCTTATGTTATAACCAAATGCAGACAGATTGTCCTTTGGGCCACCAGCTCACAATACAAAAACAAAAACAAAAACAAAAAAAACAAAAAACAAACAAACAAACAAAAACCACACACACACAGGGACTTATTATTAATCACGGCAGCTTGTCCCATTAGCTCTTAAATTAACCCATATCTTTTAACCTATGTTCTTTTATGTGGCTTGGTTACCTTTAATCTGAACTGCCTATCTTGCTCCCTCAATATCTGGCTGGCGACTTCCCCTTTTTCTCTTTTTCCAGAGCTCTCTGTTCCTAGAAATCCCATATAATCTCTTTCTGACTGCCTAATGGCCATTCATCTCTTTATTGGAGTCATCAGAACTTGCCTGGGCAAAAACACATGTTCACAGTGTACCAAAAGATTATTCCACAACAACCAAATGCATGATTGAAGGAGAGAATAAGCTCAGACATAATCTTCTTGTGCAAGCATTAAGTCCATTGGTTATTGTTCACCCCACTGAAAGAAGAGTCAGACAAAGAAGCAGTGTTGTGTATGTTGGAAGGCAGATCATATACATCATATGATGTTATAGGCCTGTGCCATCTTTTAACCTGCTAAAATGATCTGCTTTTTGAAACCTAAGTGCTTGTTATAAAATAATGTATTTGATCATGGGGCAGATCGTTTCTTCAGACTTACCTATACATACCCATGGTATGATGTTCTCAGGAAAGTCAATGTCTTTTCATCTGTCTATAGTACATTGTTAGCTATTCTGTGGCTAACTACTCTCCATTTACAGTAAAGACAGACTCCTATTTTCTGCTAAGTTGAGGCTGTCTGTACTATGGAATTCTGTTTGGTGAAAACTTTGGAATTCAATTCATTTGTTTCTATTCTTTAACCCAAACTTTGCTCTCACTCAGATTTTTATTTATTGATCAATTGATTGACTGGTTTCATTTTTACTGGGAAGAATGATGGTTATTAAGTATTGTTTTGTCTCTGGGAGTATTTTATTCTCTTATTTAAGGTTTGCAAATATAATTTCAGATTGTGGAGGGATACAGACAGGCGAGAGTGGAGTGATCTCAAGTCCTAATTATCCAAACATTTATGGTAGATGGACTCAATGTTCATGGCTGTTGGAAGCCCCAGAAGGGCACATCATCACTGTGAGTTCTTATAACTTGGTTACTAGATCATGGAAATAGTGTGTGTGCCTCTCTCTCTGTCTCTCTCTCTCTCTCTCTCTCTCTCTCTCTCTCTCTCTCTCTGTGTGTGTGTGTGTGTGTGTGTGTGAGTGAGTGTGTGTGTGTGTGTGTGTGTGTGTGTGTGTGTGTGTGTGTGTGTCAGTATTTGTAGATAAGTGATTAGAGTAGACTTTGGTTTTATAATCGATAATTTTTCCTTTAAAATTATTTGTTTAGAGTAGATATATTGTTATCTATCAGTCTACAATCAATGAAGACTATTTCTTTTCTCAAATTAGGAAAAGGCATATGTAGAAGCTAATGACAAGAAGTGTCATTCTAGCCTAATAAGTTGCTGGGGTTCTCCCAAATGACTCTACTACATGAAAAAAAAATACACTCTTTCTAAATTCACAAGAGAACTTTTTAACAAGGAAAACAGAATGAAGAGGAGAAAATAAAGAATCATAAATACTAAACTATGAAAATCATGACAAAATGAAAGAATTTATAGAAACTTTGTATGATGGAGGTAGATGAACTCCCTTATAGCTCAGTGTGGCTCATCATGTCTCTTTTCTTCTGCAGCTCACATTTAGTGACTTTCATCTCGAGGAGGAACCAACTTGTTCTGCAGACTCAGTTACTGTCAGGAATGGTGGCTACCCTGAATCACCCATCATAGGACGGTATTGTGGGTGGTCAGTCCCTGGGCCAGTACAATCTGGTTCCAACAAGCTTGTAGTGACTTTTACCACAAACCATCAAGGGCAAAGCCGTGGATTTTATGCTACATGGAGCACAAGCACTTTAGGTAAAACAAACAAACAAACAAACAAAACCTTCTCTATACTTACCATTTATTTTTCATAACTAATTTAAAGTATAGTCATTTCTTAGTACTGAAGGGGATAGGCTCCACTCAGTAAACAAATCTGCAAGTGCTAATTTTTTTTTATGCAATATGATGCAGTACTTGTTCATGGTGTATGAGTGTCCTCCAGAAAACATTATCTCTAGACTATTTGTAATCAAAAGATATTTCATAGGTACAATGCTACTTTAACAAGTCAAATATGAACCTTGTGAAAAATTCTCAGAAGTGATAAGTATTCGTTTTGGATAGTTAGGATTTTAGTAAATTCTAACCATCACAGAACAGTCCCTTGTAGAAGAGTTTATTAATATGAAGATCTCTACAGAATCTTCTCCATATTCTCATTAAGCCACTAGCTACTCCTGAAGTTATCAGGCAGTTACAAATGAACCACTGCCTCAAAAGCAAAAGATTGAGGCCATGTCCCTTTATTTAATTTCACTCTGTGCTTAATTTATAAGTTTCTTTGTTATCTCCTAGGTATGTGTTTTAAGGTTATGACAATAATTCTAGATTTTCTGCTTTGTATTTCTATGATTTATTCAGAACAGTCAATCACTTTCAACATGAGCCAGGTTACTTAGTGGAATGACTTTCCAGTTAAAAAAAAATACATTTTCTCTAGTTTTCTGTAGTAGACTAAAAGTATAAGAGATCGCGCAGCTGTATTTGCATCTGTTTATGGTAAGAAAATGTAGAGTGAGTGTGGCCTGGCTATCTATTTACCTGCTATACAGTCTCAAGGAAAGTAGAAAAGATGACTTGTTCTGAGACAGAATGGGGGGGGTCTATCACTCCAGTCTACAAGACTCAGATCAAGGGACCTCACTGTATCCCAAAACTGTGACAGCCTTCTGTTTTTAGAGCATTTCATATCTATGGGCTCCTACTTAGTTTCTACCCCAAAGACAATAAAAGATGAGTTATGTCCTCACATTTAGAAATATTCTCTAGCCATCTTTGGCTTCTAAATTTCATATTTTATCTTGAAGATTTATTTTTTTTAATGGAAAATTTCCAGGTTGTGGTGGAACATTCCATTCAGATAATGGGACAATCAAATCTCCTCATTGGCCTCAGCCATTCCCCATGAACAGCAGATGCTCCTGGACTGCCATCACACATGAGAGTAAACACTGGGAGATTAGCTTTAACAGAAATTTCCGGATCCCCAGTAGTGACAGCCAGTGTGGGAACAGCTTTGTGAAGGTTAGTGTGCTTGTTTGTTTGACTGGTTTTATAACTATAAACATTTTGGCTACAGAGGACTCAGTTGTTTCTCAAGCTGCAAAGAATACAGTTTTATTGCTTGAATTGCTTAGATGTGAAAGAAAGATACTTCAACTGTTAAAAGATAAGATTTGAACCACCAAGTACATGCTGACTTATAGTCTTTCATCTTCTGGGCTGGGAAAAGTGAATAAATTAACCTTCTTAAATTGTCATGAGCGTTGATGGATGCTTTTTCCTTTTCTCTTTCATTTTTTCTCCCTCATTCCTTCCCTCCTTTCTTCTTCCCATCCTTGCCTTCTCTCTCTCTCTCTCTCTCTCTCTCTCTCTCTCTCTCTCTCTCTCTCTCTTCTTGTCTTTTTTTGCTAAAAGAAATCAGCGTATAAACACATAAGGTCTCATCTCAAAGAAAATTTAATAAATTCTATAAAAATGACAGGAGATTGAAGTAGCCAATGACAACCTTTGTTCCAGATATTAGAATTTCATACTGTGAAACAATATGAGAGACCTAAACTAAGAAATGATGGTACAGGAGGTTAGACAGGAGGCTTACCTCCAAAGCAGCTTTCCTGCTCATATGACACTGATTTTCACTTTCTATTGACACAACCATAACTATATTATAAGTTCACGTTAGCCATTCTGTATCACATCTTGTATATTGCATCAATGTGAAACTATGCCTTTTAGCGGAAAGAGCCATTGGTCTAAGTCCCATTAGCTACAAATATATTCATCTCTTTCATACTTGCCACCCATATGTGTTTTATGATTTAATTAATATTTTTAGCTTCAAATTATTTAACTATAAAATGAAGAGAATGATTCTACTAATGAATTAAGCATTAGAATATGACACGATAGCATAAAAAACTACCTAGTACTTGCGAATATAAAACTCATCCAATGAATGGGAATGCCTTTTAAAGTCAATACTATTATTTCATATTATCCTTCAAATTGTTTTATTTCATATTGATCTGTTCATCTTATTTAAATGAAAATCTAATCCTTACAAAATGTGCACATAATAAAATGGAATTAATATATACTTCTCTTAATTGCTTTTCCCATAATGAGAGCTCTCTTTTCATAAGAGGAATCAACACAAAGTGTGCCAACTTACATTAAATCTTATAAGTAATTTGATGGGAAAAAGTTAATCTGGAAAACTGACTGGGATCATTCTTCCTCTGGATAGAATGGAAGTCCCTCTGAAAGTGTCATACAAATCCCAGTGCTGACAGAAAATGATATCAAATTGATAATTACCAAAAATAAGTAATGGAAGAAACACTATATTTAGCTGAGTATGAGATTTTCCATTGACAAACTTGTGATAACTGTGTTGTAACACTCTTGTTTATGCCAAAGGAAGCTTCTGTATAGATGGAAGTAATAAGGAAAGGGACCCAGTGACAGCAAACTACCTGGAGTGGGAAGGTCCTTGGTGTCTCTAAGTCAAAGACTCTTTTCTTTGTCATATAGACAAGAGGGAAGGTGGATAGAATGGTCAAAGATGCAAAAACCCTTTTTGTTCTCAAAATTAGAGATGTTTCTCCTCCCAAAGACCCTAAGGTAGTAATAGGGGAATCCCATTCAACCCTCCTGCTTTGATGGAGAAATACACAGAAGCCACCCTAGGTAAAGGACTCTGTACCCTTGGGAAGCACTAGCTGAAGTAGACTAGGCATGGCTTTACATACTCATAATCCTAGCATTCAAGAAGTAGAGGCAGGAGCATCAGAGTGTCAAGCTCATTCTTGGCTCCATAGGGAGTTTAAAGACAGCCTGATCCACATGTGGCCTTGTTTAAAGAAAAATAAGAGGAAGAAAATACTAGTAATATCCCAAAAATACCATAAAAATCAAGGTGAAGAAAATTGTATTACAGATACTCAGAAAATCAAATCACCATTAGAAACAGAGTGCAAGAATGTATGTAAAACTATATACTGAACATAAACATGGTGACACTCTTCAAAATAAAACACTGAAATAGGACTCAGACCCTACTAATATAGTAGATAAAATGTTTAGATCGCAACAATAAAGAACCCATCCCAAGAGAAACAAAGACTATTACAACTTGAGTGAGGAAAAATAATCATGTCAACCCTGAGATGAAATAGATGATGGACATATGTCAGTACTGAAGTCATAAAACTTCCTCAGGGACCACTAAGAAGTTCTTTTTAAAGCATTTTCATGACCAAATGAATAATAGAAAATGTTGGCAAAGAAACAGTTACAGTAAGGAACTAAATGCAAATTATAGAACTAAAAACACAATAGAAATAACTCACTGTTTAATCTCAATAGTTTAGTGGAAAGGACAGAGAACAGAATCAGTAAATTTGAGGAGAGAACAACAGAAGTCACCCCTTGGAACAATAAAGGAAAAATAGACTTTAAAATAAAAAAGAAACCTGAACAGAACAATAATGAACTATCCAACACTCATACCACTGCAGTCCTACAAAGAAAGACAACAATTCAACTGACAATAGTTAAAGAAATAATGAAATACCAAAACAAAAGAATGGTCAACATTAAATTTAGCATCTTGAAAATCACTGTTAACATACATTGTAGATTTTTAAAATTCCATTTCAAAAGCAAGCTAAAAGAAAATATCCATAAGGTAATTTCCATTAAAGATTGTTTAAGAGAACTTACTCAAACTACACAGAATGGTATGGAAAAAAAAAAAAACCTTGGAGTATAAAGAAGAAGGAATCAAGAAATGAGTAGAAATGTGTGCATCTGGTTAGAATATACCTATACATAGAATATATGTTTATGAATTATATTTAGTGATTTAAACAAGCCTATAATGTTATCTGACAATGGAACTTAAGTGGGGGTTGTATTTCAACACTCCCCTCAAAATGGCCCAGTGTGAATGCTGGAGTATGCCTTAGTAAACATGTATACATTTCAATACCCAGAACAATAAAAATTATCAGAAAGAATATGAAGGCCCATGAAAAACATTACGTTTCAATAAAAATGGGATATATACAAAATCAAGAAAAACACACAGTGGATCAAAGAATAGAAGAAGAAAATGGGATGAAAGTAGAAAATGAAGGTTCAATTTGTGTTTTAAATAACCTAGTTACACCAATTAAAATAGACAGATTAATGGAGTTAAAGCATGATACAAGTGGAAACAAATTCACTTCAAATCCAACCATACAGGTGGTTAAAAAGATATAAAATCATAAATCATGGAAACAATATTTTATTTAAAAAAAAAAGCTGTAATAGCTATATTCACTGCTAAAATGGAATCCAAAACTTTAAAATATTGCTCTTAGAAAAGAGACATCTTACATGAGAATAGAACAATTAGTCTACCAGGAATACAAAGTGAGATTAAATGTTCTTTCTTGAAACAATAGTTCCTGAAGGATGAGAAGCAAAGTTTGATAGAGCTATGGAGATAGCTCTTCAGTTGGGTTAAGATTTCAACACTCTGCTCTCAATAGCTCATAGGACAGCCAGCTAGACAATGCACCGGAATGCAAGGGAGCTCTGAAACTGTGAAGCAATAGGATAAAACTGAGATATGTAGGCGGGCGGTGGTAGCACGTGCACTGGGGAGGCAGAGACAGGATGATCTCTGTGTGTTCGAGGCCAGCCTGGTCTAAAAGAGCTAGTTCCAGGACACCTTCCAAAGCAATACAGAGAAGCCCTGTTTCCAAAAAAAAAAAAAAAAAAAAAAAACCAAAATGAAACCTCAATAAAAGAACTGCAGAGAATATTTTCTCTGATGGTATAAACTACAAAACAATAATAAAAAGAGGGCCGGCCTTCCACACACCAGAATAAGCAGTCAGCTAAAAAAAAGCCAGCCAAAGTGAGCAGAGAAATCAAGTCTTTAATTACTTCCTGAAATGGCATAATCAAGAGGTGAAAAGGGCAAAAGTGTGGGCTCCACCCATGTCACTTTTTGATAAACTCGTGGAAAGGGTCAAGTGGTCAGCTTCAAGGTAGGAGTTGTTCACAGCTTTGTGAGCCCCAAACAAAAAGACAGAAAATCCTGAGGACTGAGTTAGAGTGGAGGAAAGCATTTTGAACTTTCTCCTTTACACTCACAAGAGGTCTTGGCAAAGATGCCCATGTAGGCCTCCAGCTGGGAGCTGCTGGAAAAGACTTCCCAGGAAGGTGCCTGGGCTCCGAATGCACTTCTGTATAAGAGTATGCTTGGCCACCAGGGCCTGAATCCCATACAGTAACTCACCTCAGTGACTGGAACATGTTGGCTATGGAAAAGTTACATGAAGAAGGTGGACAGAGGGCGTGGCAGGTCACACTTCTGTAATTGGCTGGGCCCTAAAACTTCAGACAGGATTTTGACAAAGACAAAATACAGTGTGTGACACAATACAGTGATATTTAGCACCTTAAAATAACCTACAGGTCAAAGAAGAAGTCTCAAATGAATTTTTAAAACACACAGAAGGAAATCAAAGAAAATAAGGTCAAACAAGTATATAGATTATGGAAAAAACCTTAGGAGTAGATTGATAACACTAAAGACTTCACGTACATTTTTAAAATAAAGCCAAGCCAATAATCAGGAAAATAATGATGAAAATAGAAATTAATGAACTTGACAATAGGAATACAATGGAAAAATCAAGAAAATTGATAAATTTATTGCAAGGCTGACAAAAATCAAAAGTGACAAAACAAATCATCAGTGTCAGATAGGCATGTAAATTAGAATTAAAAGAGATCAGTGTATTCCTGTAGATGATTTTTAGACTGTGCACAGCCTCCTCAGCTCATTTACTCTAGTTACTTCTCTGAAACCAAATCAGACTTTCCTGGTCAAAGACCCATGTAGAAGGTAGGGTTACCTAAAGTGGACCAATCAGAGGAAATCTTCACTGTCCAGCTCTTCAAAAACCAAACACAACCTCCTTATGGCAATCAGGATGAAATAAACCACTTAAAAACAAGTTTAAAAAGTATTCCCCAAAGAACATACTCCAGATTTGTGTGCGACTTACTTAGTCTTCCTCTTTCCTTTCCTTTCCTTTCCTTTCCTTTCCTTTCCTTTCCTTTCCTTTCCTTTCCTTTCCTTTCCTTTCTTTCTTTCTTTCTTTCTTTCTTTCTTTTCTTTCTTTCTTTCTTTCTTTCTTTCTTTGTCTTTTTCTGTAGAATTGAATACAATTATATTCAAGCCTAAATCTGTTAAACTATTGGCAGGTGAAAACTGATAGCATTAAGTCATGTTTTTGACCCCATCAGGTCTGGAGAGGAACCTTGAAGACCAATGATACCCTGTTAGCCACAAGTTGTGGGGATGTGGCTCCAGATCCCATTGTCACAACAGGAAACATATTCACTGCTGTCTTCCAGTCTGAGGAGATGCCAGGCCAGGGCTTCTCTGCATCCTTCATAAGCCGTAAGTAGCATTGGAATCTAAACCATGAGGAAGGGCAGCTGCCTCAGACTGGCTTGGGGAACAGTAGGAAAGTCCCACCGAGATTGGCTTGATAGAGATCCTGGGAAGGAACATGAATGAGCCCCTAATCCTGGAGGGACACTCTTCCTTCAACAGTCAATGAGATTCAGGCATGGCTGTATGTGTCTATGTTATAGAGAGGGCAAAGGTAGGATGAACTGAACTTTGAACCCAGTTTAGGGGAAAAATACATGCTATTGGAGCTAAATTCAAGGCCAGGTCAACTAAGTATGATCCAAAAGGCCCCCTCCCCTGCTCTGACTGCAGAGCACAAATGAGGTTAGTGGGAACTGGAGCCGTTTTCAAACCTGTGCATTTGGCTAAACTAAATCAGATGAACGCTATTTGCAAAACATTGTTCAAGGTGAAGCTTGGGGAAAAGAATTGTAGGGAATAATGCAGTGAATAGATATTTCAGACATGAATAAAAGAACAAGGATGATGAATAGGGAGTAATGATGGCCAACTTATGATCTAGCTTGAGTATTCGGATGATCTGTGTGTGTGTGTGTGTGTGTGTGTGTGTGTGAGAGAGAGAGAGAGAGAGAGAGAGAGAGAGAGAGGAGAGAGAGAGAGAAAAAGAGATTCATTCAGTGTAAAAGGATACATATATTGTCATAATTTACCAGTCAGAGTATACTACATTAACTAGAAGTAGATGAAAACAAATGCCTCTTTAATAATGCAAGGTATTAGTCCCTGTATAGTATAGATAAACCTACAGCTTTTTATACACCAGAAAAGCACTACTTTAGAACTATGTTCCCAGCCTTTTACTCCCCACTTCTTAAGTTTTGGCACAGTGTCTAGCCAGGTTGCCTAAGATAGCCCTGAAGTTCCAGTGCAGCCCAGGCTTTTCTTGGATTTACATTCCTGGAGCCGCTATTTCCAGAATAGCTGGGAGTACCGGTGTGTACTATTGCCCCTGCCTTCTGTATCTGTATTTTGGGCAGCTGGGATTCATGTGACAATCTGATAAATATCATGAGTAGCATATTAAATTACCTTTGAAAAACAATGGTCATTGCTATTATTCTTAGATTTAAAAGGGAGTGTTTTCTAATAGACATTTAGAAAACATTTTATAAACTCTTTAGGCAATTAATATAATACTTTTCAAATAAAACACAAAGTAATACTTGGAGATATATCACACTGTTTGTGCATGTGTGTGCAGGTGTATATGTGTATGAGTACATATGGAGCCAAGAGGACACCTTGGGTATTCCTCAGATTCTATCCACCTTTTCTGTTTGTTTTGTTGATGGAACATCTTGAATTGGCCTGTAACTCACTACATTGAATGGGCAGGCTGGCCAGCTAAGCCCCAGGGATCTTCCTTACTCTCTCACCCCACATGTGGAATTCCAAGGGCACACCAGGAAGCCTGATTTTATTTTCACCTAGATTCTAACACTGAGATCAGGTCCTCATGCTTGCAAGGCAAACACTGGACAGACTGTCATTTCCCTAGGCTTGCAATTCACTTTCATATATTTTGTTTGTTTATGTGAATTATGTTTAATCTTTGATAATTTATCTTCTTAAAAATATTGTGAGACTGGAAGTGTATTATGAGACAAAATATATACTGCTTGGCACCTCAAATTCCTCATGATATTCTAATCAGCTTTTATTTTTCTACCATTTAGCCTTATAAGTCAAAGTTATTCTCTTGGTGCCCTTCTTCCATTTGGAGTATTGGAAGAGATATTTTGTAGAGACTTCATGAAAATGTCTTTCTCTTTATGAAATAGTTGCTCTGGGTGATTATGAATGTCCTGATGATTTTTGTTGTTGTTGTTCTTCTGTAGGATGTGGACGTAGGTTCAATGGCTCCAACGGTGACATCATCTCTCCAAACTTCCCAAAGCCATATGACAACAATATGAACTGCACCTACTTCATAGATGTGGACTCTCAGTCTCTGGTCATCCTGACCTTTGTGTCCTTCCATTTGGAAGGTATGTCTATTCTTCTCCAAAAATTAATTAACTTCGACTGATAAAGGCATATATCTACAGTGTTGATTTAGGGGTTGGATAAAGATAAGGATAGCTTGCATCATGGCTATGCCAAGCTAGTTAAAATACCTAATAAAATACGCTTTTTGATTTTGAGAACATCTAGAATTTATTCTCATAGAAATATTCAAACAGATAATAAGCACATCATTATTAATTATAATCTCCATGTTGTACAGAAGATTTTCTGAGTTTATTCCCTTCCAAAGAATAGGGTTAAGTATTATGATATTTGATAGACATCTTCCCATCCTTGAAATCCTTGAAGATAGTAACCACTGTTCTACTCTACTAGCTCAATTGTTTTAGATTTCACAGAGAAATGAGATTGTGTGCTGTTTGTTTTTCCCGTGTATCTTTTTATTTTTCATTTAGTACAATGCCTTGAAATTTATTCATATTGCCATGAATTACAGTATTTCCTTCTTCATAAAGACCAAATAGTACTTCATTGTTTTCATTCTCATTCAACCATCTGTCTATGCGTGTCATTCGCTTTATTCATCAGGAGAAGTACTCTTGAGTTGATTTCATGTCTTGGCTATTATGAATAATTCTGCAGCAAACATGGAAGAATAGATTGGTCTTCACCACACTGACTTCATTTCCTCTGGGTGTATGCCCAGGATTGGAATTGCTGAATAGTATGGGTCTATTTTTAATTTTTTGAGTGTCCTCTTTTTCATAATGGCCACACCAGTTTAAATAGCCACATATTCACCATTACACATCTCTTGTCTTTTGATAATAGCCAAAGATTCAATTTATTTCAAGCAAACAAAAATAATTAAGCCATTAATGAGAGAGATGTAGCCAGAGTGCTCTAAAATTATTGAAGACAATAATAAACCTGTTCTGAACTATAGTGTAAATGAAAATCAAATTACAAATAAAAAAATCTTTATACTGAGGACTAGACTTTGAGCAGGAGCAGTAAGCACTGTACAACTAAGTTATATTCCTACCCATTAATTTTTGTTTGAAAACAGGCTCTCACTAAATTATACAAGCTGGTCTTGAACTCTTATATCAATCAAGCAGACATATAACTCTTGCCTCTGTCTTCAGAGAAGTTGAGGTCATAGGCCTGGCTTCCTTCTGGTTTTTGAAGAGAAAAAGTAGCATTTTATATATTCCATCCAGAACTGAAAAACTAAAATAATAACTTTAAAGACACAGGCACCACAGAAATTTGCTTAAAGAAAACACATCTAAAGCCTGTTATATTTTACATAGCATCTTTTTTTTTCTCCAAGCACAGAGGATTGAACTGAAGTATATACATCAAGTTTGGCAAGTAATCTACCACTGAGCTAAGTCTCCAGGCCTACTTCACATTGTGTTTTGAGATAAAGTATGGATAAACTACCCCAGTTGGCCATTAATTTGCTCTATAGACTTAATTGGCCTCAAGCTTGCAATATGCCTCAGACTCCCAAGTAGTTGGGGTTTTCAGGTTTATGCCATTATGTCAGGCTCACTTTTAATTTATTCATTTACAGTTATACTCTATACACGTGCATACAATCAGACATCTGCCGAAAACTATCCAGTGAGAGAAGCAATTCTGTGAGTCAGAATAGGTACTCAATCAATACTGAATGAGTGAGTAGGTAGATAATATTAGAGTCAGCTCTGCTTTTATGAAATAGCACCATGGAGAATCCTTTCATCTATATTCTGTGATCTTCACCTCCTAAGTTCTGATTCCTCAGTGGGAAGGTTCCCTCAAGAACATGCATTTCTTGTCTGCTCATTTTCCAATTCTAGAGTAAGGGCTGTCAGTAGATAAACAGTAAGATTGGTTCAAACCAGGCTGTGGCTGATAATACACACTAGATAATTTTGAAGACAAGAATAGAAATCCCTTCAAGTGGATGGAAATTTTCACATACTCTTGGGTCATACTTATCCTTTCTCATAAATCATATATTTATAGACTACAATTAATTTGTAATTCTGTCAAGATACATCTGCATCTTCAAATCTGAAAGGCACACTGAACTAATGTGGGATTAGGAATCAAATCCAGCATTGCTTCCCTGAATTGTGCGACCTTACAGCCTTACACATTTTTGCTAACTAAAGATATTTCTGTAGTCAATGTGATTGACTAAATAAAACAAACCTAACACAAAAGATTACATTCCATGATTCTGTTTGTTCAAAAAGTTCAGAGTAAAGAAATAATATATACGGAAAGTAATCTCATGGAGCTAGGACTGTAGTACAAAGAGCAGAAGAGATAAGCATTAATTGTCAGTGGACACTGGTCTCTCTGTATGGTGTTCAGAATGTAGAATTCAGAAGACTATCACATCCTTAAAGTGATAGGGGAGTGTCAACTGGGAACACCTTGCCAAAAAGCCTTTGGAGAAACCTGGAAAACATTCCTGCCTTAGTTCTAATAACTTAAACTCAAAAATCATGTTCTAAAGTAATAAGAAATTGTTCAAATGTTTATGTACAATGATATACTTTTTATAGTGTGTTTAGTCACAAGAGTCATAGATAGGAAGGTTAAAACAATGTATTGATCATAGTGGTTTAATTGAGCATAGGTTGATAACTTTTACATTAGAACTTAGTGTATACATTAGTAAAATGTCTAAGAGGACTACCTACTTACATATGATGCTGTTTTATATTATTAAAAATCAGGTCATAGTAAGTGTACTCCCATGATGTTTGGAGAGTAGCACTCACCTACAAACACAAGTACACGGCAGCAGCAAACATTCACTTAGTGGCTTTGAAAATTGTTTTATGCTGACTTACAGGAAGGGAGGAGATCAAGCATACCTTTGCTTCAAATTAGAAGACACTTTGGTGATTTACAATCAACAAAGCCCTGAAACTGATGTTTTTGTGAACATCGGAAAGATCTGTCAGGAAGCATCAAGGATTTCTCATGGGTCTGCTCATGGTCACTCTGTAAAGTTTCTCTCAAAAGCAGGACTGTTGACATTGTGAGCTGCATGGTTTGGGTATGGGTGTTTTTGTTAGTTTATATTTTGGTTTTTGTTTTGGTAGGAGGACTCAGTATGGAAATGGTCCCGTTTGTATTAAAACCTGTTTAACAGCTTCCCTGGCCTCTATCTCGTTCTCCAATGTTTCAGTGAAAATGTCTTCAGATATCACACCTCCCCTTGGAGGCCATTTGTCTCTGGTTTATAATATCTGGGTAAAGAGAATGATTCTGTAGAGGAAGGAAATTCTGAGTAACAACTGAATTTACTTATGGAGTTCTATCTGCTTTCTCTTTTCTATCCATGTTTTGTCTCAGATAAATATTCATTTTATCTGAGGTAGAAGTTACATATTGATGTAGAAAACCATCTCTTAATTTTGATTATACTTTCTGGATCAATTAGAGAATTGTAGTATTTTATCTGTTTATAGCATCATGTGTCCACAACATTTCTGCTCTGATGTTGGTCATTCTGTGCTCTGTGTAGATCGCTCGGCCATTACTGGAAACTGTGATCATGATGGCTTGCACATCATCAAAGGTCACAACCTGTCTTCCACTCCTCTTGCGACCATATGTGGTTCTGAAGTCTTAAGTCCTCTCACCGTGGATGGCCCAGTGTTACTTAACTTCTATTCTAATGCATATACCACAGACTTTGGGTTCAAGATTTCCTACAGAGTCACCAGTGAGTAACTATACTGATGTCATTTGGAATGGTTTTTCTTGTGTAATTTACATAAGGAGATTTTGTTAAGATTCATCATATGTAACCAACCTAAAGGTTCAGATACATTAAGGCAAAAAGAAATGATCAACTAGGTACATGATACAAAAAGTAATTATTTTTCTTTAAAAATGAACCACTGGGGACTGGAAAAGATGGCTCTGTGGATAAAGTACTTCCTGCTCTTTCAAAGATCTAGATTCAATTCCCAGTGCTCACAGGGCAGCTCACAATGCCCTCTTCTGGACTCTGTGGGCAGTATATACATGTAATGCAAATACAGACAAGCAGGCACACACACATATGCATACATTAAATATATATGTATGTATACATAATTTAAAAGTAGACACCCTGAACTTTAGCTAAAAGTTACCATCTGAAAATAAAACAGAAAATTGGCATTTATTTTGTCACAGTGTTATCCAGCAAAGCCATTTCAGTGAAACCAGAACACAAAACTGTTCCTGGGTCTGGTTTGTCTTTGCATGGCCACATGAATGGCTAATGGTAGGAAATAAAGTTGTTTCTCTTCAAATAAAGTAATCTGCCCATCTACAGAGAACACCAAAATATGTATTTACACATGGAAAGAATCTCATGGTTTGTTATCAGTCACTGACATCTGGCTTCTGAGCCTTGGCAACCAGAAAGGAGATTCTGTGATGTGTCCTATGCCTGATTACATCAATAAAGTAGAAAATATATTCCCTCATTGTCTGGATAAGAGGAAGGGGATTTGTTGTACTCTTGACTATTTTGGAGAATTAAGAACCTGATGTCTATTCATGTACTTGTTTACCCCTTATTTTCCTGAAGTATAGTTAGTGAGCATGGTTCAATCCCCCTTTCAGGGTCATTTACTTAAAGAATGTTGTTGCTACAGGCTCCAGATCTTGGTAGTGTGTGGAGAAGTTGTTCAGCCACTAACAAGTTTTCAGAGATCATGTAATTGACATTGAGCGAAATAAAGCAGTTTCTGCCCATCTGACATTTAATTTGACTGTTAGGTCCAGAGGCTTGAATGTATGAAGACTTGGCACAGAAAAGAATCTGCCCTGCAAATGGGCAGAGTTGAGGCAAAGCTAAATAAACAAAAGCCCTACAAAAAAAAAAAGTTACAAATTGTATTTAATCTTGGTGATATGTTAGTGGAGTGTGTTCACTGGTAACCAGAGAAACATCACCACAAAAACATACAAGCTTCGAATAATTTTAGAATCATAAAACAAATAAACATGCTCATGGGAATATATCATTAGGTGGGAACATCTGATCCTTGCTAGGTGCAATCTGTGGAAAAATGATACCTTTGTTAGTTATAATGGAACATTATATTTTGTGGTGATTACATTGTTGACTACTGAGTGTAACAAAGAGCTATGAGCTGTTAATGGCTGGAGTTAGAGTAGGGAATGGGACAAATATCCTCATGTTTATTGAAGACAAATAACACAAATTTGAGCAAGTATAAGCTTTACTAATCTTACACCCAAATACAAAACTGTAGAACCTAAGAGTGAGGCATTTGACCTTTAACTGACTTCTAATATTTCATGTATGACTTGTATACCTACCAGAGAGGACTTGTGCCGACTGGGATTTCTACATCATAATCTTCCTCTATGAATGGAAAACACATGGGATTCTCCCTGCCTTATTTGAGAATCCTGTTGTCATGCCATCTCTCTGTACCTGTCATTTAAAGTGAAGGGACAGACATAGCCCAACACATGAAATGTTCCTGCTTGTTGCTTTAATTCTGTTTTTTTCTCCCCCTTAGACTTCTTCCTTTCCAAAATGTGCTTTAAAATGTTCTTCTACTACATTTCTCTCCCTTTTCTCTTGCCTGGCAAACTCAAAATGATTCATAAACACAGTGAGGAGGCTTAGGTCATGTAAAGAACAATCAGTACGAACTCGTATTGTTTTAGTAAACAATAGCTTAGACTATTTCCCCAAAGATTTGCCCATTTTATGAGTAATAATCATTTGTGCACATTTGTTTGTCTTCTGTTACAGACTGTGGTGGAATCTACAATAAATCTGCTGGGTTCTTTAGAGTCCTTTAGACTCATCCACCAGCTACCCCACTAGCTACCCCAACAACATCTACTGTGTCTACAGCATCTATGTAAGAAGCAACAGAGTGATTCTGCTTAGGTATGTAAGACACATTTGCCTTATAAAACACTTTCAGCTCTGATCACAGGAAAGCTTCCTTACTGATCACAAGCATAAGTTCTCATAGTGGCCTAGCTGGAATCTAAAGAAAGGTAGAGAGGTTCCATATGGCAAGAAAGCCTCCACAAGATCCAGAGGGATTGAAGTTGAAATGTGAGCTTGACCAGTTAAAACTGTCCTTGTAACATCTCAACAATTTTAACAGAGCTACATATAATAGTTGTCAAGTCACAAGCCCTCCTTACCATCAAAGAGGATACAAAGGACTAGGAAAAATTGTTGCCATTTGTTCAACATTTATTATATACAAGAAGCATTGTTCAATTCTTTCCTCAGATGTTTTATTGTGCTGTTAAAGCAATAATGAGAAATATGCAAGCATAATTGTATATGTGTCAGGAAAAGGTCACACAAGCTTCCTGAAAGTAACATATATTTAAATGAAGAGTGAAAATCTGGACCCACATCAAGTGTGCTTCTGAACCAATGTCCTGAGTAATTTTACCACCTTTTGTCTCTTGAAGATAAAACTTTACCACACAAAGTTTATTTTTATTTGTGAATCAAAGCAACTCTAAATTGTTGCCTTATGTGATATGTATTTAGTCACTAGTAAATTATCTCTATAATTCTACTTATTGCAAGTGAAACTGGTAAAGAGAATACAGCCTTCATTGTCCAGAGGGATAGCATGCTAAGCTTCTTTCTCCTAAGATGGTTTATTCCCATTTCTTCAATTTCCTGGTACCTAAAATGTTCAGCATGTAATAGGAAATCTGAAAGACTAGTTGATGGGCAGTATACAGTTTTCCATATAGAAACTTGACAAGCTAGGACAATGACTACTCATCTGTTCCCTGTTTGTCAATGATAGCTTCTTCCCCCCGTGATTATGAACTCTGAAGTTTACTTTCAGCATTTTGTGTTTTCATTGGGTTCATGACATATAAAATAGGTCTCATCAAACTGATTTAGTTCCACAAGAAAAAAGAGCATGTCAATCCCACCTGAGATTATTTGTGAAGAAAATGTACTCTAGGGATAAAGGTCTTACAAGTTTTAGGATTAAAAGAACAAAATCTACCAGACTACTAGGAGGAAGAGGCCACAGAAGGACTTACCCATCCCAGAATGGAAGTATGGGCACAGCTTGTCTAGGCTGCATGTGGTAGTGTTTGTTTTTTACATGTATAGGATGTACAGGCTACTATAACAACATGGCATGAGATAAATGACACAACAAAAATTCTCATTGTTTTAGAGTCTAGGAGGTTCAAGATAGGCAGTTTCAGCATCACATGGTCATCCACTCCCTGGTTCATAGAAGAAAATTCCTCCTAGCTGTGCCAGACTTGTCCTTCAGCGGTGGAGGGTGGGAGGGCATTCTCAGAACACATTCATAAGAACACCAATTCCATCCACAAAGACAATGCTCTCATAACCCAATCCCCTCAAGAGTCTTAACTTTAGTAATTTCAGGATAGATGAGAAGACATTTGACCAACTGTGCTCACTCAGTGAACAGGGCAGGTGGGATCTTCACGCTTGTGTTTGCTCCTGTGATCCTCACTGCAGCAGAATGACTGTATATTAAAACAAGTAGTGCCTTACTCTGCTGGCATTTCTATAGCCAGGGAAGGCCCTGCTTCCACGCCAGCCTTCGATGTGTACACATTCAGTTTCCCCTATGCAGTGCTAGAAAGGCAGGGCAGGGCCTGTGTTAGGAGCCTCCATTCATCAATGCAGGGATTGATATGTGAACATTTTTTTTTTTAGATCAGTCCAATGACACAACAGAATATAGTTCATTCTTTGTTATCACTACTTCATATTTTATAAGAATCACGATTATTCCATAGTCTTATTTTATAAAACCATAACTTAATACTGAGGACACACTGTATACCAGATACAGTAATTTGGCTATATCATATTGTTGCACTTGATGTTTCTATAAATTTCATTTTAAAAGAAGGAAACAAGAGACTGAAAGAACCACCATCCAGCTTATATAAACCTGCTTTCTTCCATTTGTCTTAGCATTTTTTATATAAATAAAAAATAAGACAGCAATGACACTTATCATACAACACAAGAAAAAAGAGGAAGAGTATATTTTAGGTGAGGTTAAAAAAAAAACCTAGCGTGTTATTGAAGTGATAACATAGGCCAGCTTGTCAATACTCAATCTTAGGAGCTATAGGAGGGTAATGGTAAGTAATGCTGGAAGGAGTCATGCTCCTTAAAGGTGTAGCCACCAGTAAATTGCCTTTATTCAAGAAGTAACCCTCCACACATACTTATGCAAGCAACTTTAGTTAAATGCTATAGGGTACATCAAAAAAGATAGGAACATGGTGAGATGATTGTTGGAAACAGGAGGGATTCAGAAGGAGAGAGGTGGGAGAGAGAACAATGGGGAGATATGATCAGAGTATATCATGTATGCATGGAATTGTGGAAGAATAAAAAAATTATCTAAAAACTGACCTCACATGAACCTATGCCTAGATTGTCTTGAAATGTAGAACTGTATTTTATTCATCTTTACATCCCTAGCTCCTATCACAACTATTAGTATATTACAGTTACCCAGCAAATATTGGCCTCACATTTGAATAAATTAGTAATGTCTTGCTTATAAGTTTTCTTTCCAAGTGAAGCTTGAATACTGTGTTGTCAGTCTTTTGCTTTGTGTGTGTGTGTGTGTGTGTGTGTGTGTTTTAATTTCATAAGAACTATGGGTACAATTTTAAGGGCAAATAAATGAGGGCATAAGTAATAACTAGGTTATTTTACAGGTTCAACAATTTTGAAGTGGCTCCCTCCTTCTTTGCAAAATGACCACCTGGAGGTTTTCGATGGTCCTAGCATTGGAAATCGGTCTTTGGGAAAGTTCTGTGGTTCCACGATTCCACAGAATATTAAGAGCACCAATAACAGCCTGACCCTGTTGTTCAAGACAGATTCTTCTCAAACTGCAAGAGGTTGGGAAATATATTTCTGGGAGACATTAGGTGAGTATTTGAGACTTTTGGGGGGGGGTTATTCCTCCTTTTCTGCTTTGTTTAATCCCTCCCCTAGCTAATCCCAGATGATTTTTATTTAAACATAGAGGAATCCCAAATGGAAGGCTCATTGACTATGGTCACTTTATTCCTAGAGTGGTAAAGATTCTTGAGAATGTATGTAATGATTTTATGATTGTAAAAAAGAGGAATGCTTCAATAGCCCAACAACCAAAGGAAGGACAGAAAGCCTTAGGACAAAAGTCCAGATGGCCAAGGCTCTAACTAGCACAAGTGGGAATGGGAGGTAAAGAATGGATTGAAGTACTAAAGGTCATTAGAAGGCCAAATACATCAGTAATGTAGCATTTGGAGCATATTGGGATACTACAAGGGAATGCAAGTTGAAGATGTGGCCTCAAGGGCAACTTGTTAGATGATGTTACCTTTGTCTACCCAGGTAGTACCTAAGTCTATTCTTAGTACAGGAAGAACATTGTATTTAGTTTGCTAGATTTGGAGCTGGTGAGCCTGTCAGGTACATACGTAGAGGTATCTAAGAGATGGTTGAAAAGACATTTGGGCCAGATAGGGTGGTCTCAGAGTCATTGTGGGATAGCAGAATGGCTAAGTATGAGGATAAAGTGAAAACAACAGCCCAGTTTATTGCCACTGCACATGAAAGATAATTATTATCTGTCTACACGAGCACAGGCATGCCTGTCGTTTAAAATAATCAGCTCTCTTTTTAATACTAGTTGTGTAAATGGTGTAATTTTTGTTTGACTCAGGGGAAGTATTTTTATTTTTCCTTGAATATGGCTGTGATTAATTTTCTGTGATCTAACACGTCTTCAAACAAATCCATTCTCCGAGAAGAATCAGAAAGACAGGGAGGACTTTCCCACAATAAATCATTTAGGCTCCTTTTCCCCAGGTTTTCTCTTTGCCCATGGCCTGATTCACCTCCACCTTTGTGAATGAAAACAGAGAATACTTTTAACTACATTTCTAGTCATGCTTTTCTGAATTATTATTTTAATTATTTTATTTATTTATTTGTGTGCATATATGCACGTGTCTGTATGAGTACATGCATGTGGAGATGTTCTCAGAGGCCAGACAAAGGTACTTGGAGCTGTAGTTATGGATATCTGTGAGCTGCACCATTTAGGTACTAGCATCCAAACTCTGTGTCTCAGGTTCTTGTGATTAAACAGCAAGAGATCTTGACTATGAAGCGTCTCTGAAGCCTCATTAACAATGGAGGGCAGACATGGTGACAGTTGCACTAGAAAGGTGCTTTGTCACTTACCCTTTTCAACTGTCATGAGAATGACTTGAAAGCAAGTCTCACAGGATACAGAATGTAGCCTTACTAGAATGGTATAGGCTATTTGAAAAGAAAAACCCACTTTGCATGAAGGATCTCACATATTGGGGCTGCCATTGTAGTTCATGTGAAAAATTTTACCACTTTTCTATCTGTGTAAATGCCATTGTCCACTTGAAGATATTCAGGAAATAATGAATTAATTATTCGATTGTATTTTTCAGTGAGAACTTGAGTATTTTAAGTTTTAATTGGGCCTTACAAAGCTTTTTAGCTCACACAACTAAGTGTACTGGCCAGTCTAAATAACTTACAGCTTTTTTGTCATTTTGTGTGGTGAGGAAAAAGAATTAACAAATGTCATTGCAGTTCTAGAGTCTCTAGAATCTTTTTGTTACTGATTTAACAAATAATAATAATAATAATAATAATAATAATAATAATAATAAACCATAAGGTCAAATTTGCCTAATAGCATACACCTTTCTCTTTACCTCATCCATTTAAACCACCCCATCTTTTCTGTAAGGAGACACCTATTCTCTGGACCAGACTGGTTGCTTGTTTCCAAGGCTATTGAACTGCCTGGAAAACAACCCCTCCCCTGATAAACAACTGGTGTAAAAGAGGAGACTACTGTAACTCTTGGATATTTCTGTTCAGTTTTATCTCAACTAGACCCCCTAATTACAGCTTTTGCAGCTTTGCTGTTTAGATTATACAGTTGATGATAACTACTGCATATCTTGCTTTAATTTTCCAAGATTCAGTAAAATCGGCTCATGCACTTTATTTGACAGTGCACATCTCCTACACGTTTGCTACATTTGTGTTTCTTGTCTACCGAGGGAACCGGGGAACTATCCATGGTGGGTAGTTAATAGATGGTGAAATGGAGTCTCCTTTCTTTTGTGGAATTGTTGCTCAAGTGTGTGAGTAGGTGAAGGCAAAGCAAACACCAGGAGCTGGCATCTAACCATGACATAAAATTTTCTCGTATTTCCCATGAGTGTCAATACAACATGGGTAACTAATTGTGAAAGAAGGGAAGTCAGAGAAATTATTGTGCTGAGCTTCCAGGACCCAGGAAAATGAAATTATCTAAAAAAAAGATGAGCATTTTTCTGGACCAAGTGCTCACCCTTTATCAGATCACCAATGGCTCTGAAATCCCACCTTTCTATGTGTTTGGAAAATGTGTGTCAGCTCCAGAACTGACATTGAAAACATTCTGCTTTTCCCTAATAACTTTCTGATAGCTTTAGTTTTAGCTTCTCCTTTGCCAGCAGGGCTCACTTCAGATGTCACTAACTTACATGTTATAAATGAAACACTTCATCTTTGAGCATATGTTTTTACAGCTCATGGCCTCCATTCCTTACTATACTGACCTCATACCCAAGTGTCTCACTGAGTCTTTTGTGACTACTCGTTATGTTACACACAGATCTTCTAGATACAGAGCTAGGTGTGTACGTTATGTACCATTGCCATTTCATTTTTATTCTCTCTTTTCTTGAGGAGTTTGGGTGTGTGGGTGTACATATATGATACATATGCATGTATGTGTGTGTATATGGAGGCACAAGATTGAAGCAGGACTGTGCTTCAGGTACCCTTTACCTTATACATTGAGGCAGGGTCTCTCAATTGGCTCATAGCTTACCAGTGTAGCTAGTATAGCTAGCCAGCTTGTTTTAGAATCAGTCTTCCCAAGGGCTGTGATTCCAGACTGGCTACCTTGTCAGTCCAGCATCTATATGTAATTAGGTTCCAGCTCCAGGCCCCATACTTGCATAGCAAGTACTTTTATCTACTCAGCCACCATCCTAGCTCTCACTTTTATCCCCTAAATGCATTTTACTAAAGTACAATACTAAACTTGGCCCCCAGAAATGTTTTGGGGAATAGGAGTCATTGAGTAGCCCCAGAGACCATTAGGAGTCCCTGCTGTCCAAGGAGAGAAATCCCTGTCCCTGGATTAAAAAAAAAAAAAAAAAAAAAAAAAAAACTATATCAGGGACCTCAATGACCAGAATCACATGTTTAAGCTTTCTGCCTCCTGCTGGTCATAGCAAATATGTCAAGGATGGAGGTCACTCCTTATCTGTCTTCCTTCACCTGGCTTATTAGTCATGTAGAGGTGAGTCAGGCAGCATTAAGGGCAAACTCAGGGGCTGCTGTGAGAGAAGCATGAGTACAAAAACACATGTCCAGCCAGGATAGAATGAATCAGAGGTCAACAAAGGCAGGAGTGTGGCCAAAGGGGAAGAGCTATGTGCCAGGCAGGATTCAGGTACCCAGTGACTCACTATACCACTGCCTGTGATGGAGCTTTAGCTGAAACCCTAACCTCTCTATGCTCAGTTTTTATCTACCAAAGAAGACCAGCTTGAAATATTACCATTTTCTAGCTCTTAAGAATCTATTAGAGGTAAAGTAGATTAGTTCCTGGAACATACCGTAGCTGTCCTAAAGTATGTTTTATAACTTAAGTCAAATCAGAACTTAAATTCTAATTAAATCCTAAGGCTTGTAGAGGCCTCTGATATAAACTTTATTCCATCAATAGTGGCTGTGTGAATGAATTGAAGAATAAATAGGTAAATTATGCCTACTTTGAAATTACATTTATATGTGCCTAATATTATATATTATGTGATACTATATATTATACCTATTTATTCTCTCAATTGATTCACAACTTATAGAATTAAGCTATTTTACAGGGAAGAGCGTGGAATCATTTCATCCAGTTCTGGAGATACTGCATCTGACTCAATATCTAATTGCATAAGCTTGGTCTCTAGACCTATTGTCATACTCTTGTTATCATACATCTCTCAAATGTGCCAAAAGTGTAGACAATGTGAAGGGTGGAAATAAGGTGGAGGAATAAAAAAATGGTTGGCTTCTAAAGGGGATATAAAAGGCAGAGGTTGCAGAGAGCCTGGGGCCACAGAAATGAAGGGCGTGGTCTCAGCAAATGGAGGGGGACTCTCTCATGCCCACTTGAGAATTCATTCCACTTCCTAGATTATATTTAGCCTTTCCAGTTGTGGTGTCAAGTTTAAACTCTGAGAGGCATTCTGAAATTGTGTAGCGTGACAATAAAAGAATGCACTTTCAAACATTCACTGACATTAAAAATATGTGTGTGTTTCTCTAGGCGCCTCTGAGCAGCTGGAGACAGGCTGCCAACTGCCTCAACTTCTAGAAGACAAGTGCAATCAGATAGCCAGGTTATCAGTTGAATAATTTGATAAATCACTACTCACGTAAATCTCAGGGAAGCAAGGGTGGGGTATGACTTGAAAGCAGCCAGGGATGCTATTTGTCTGGTTTCTTAATGTCATTTGCTTCCTTTTACTAAGCCTGAGGGAATGAGATGAACCGAAACTGTAAACCCATTTAAAGAAAGCTAGACTACGCCCATTTCAGCCCCTTGCAAGCCTGCTTGTTTTCACTGTTGATCAGCTGTCCCCTGAGGATAAAGCTAAACAAAAGGGTATCTGCAGCTTATTCTTTGGGGACTCACTGAAAAGAGTATTTGCATTTGAGTAGCTTAGAATGTGTGAATGGGACAAAGAAAGCAGCTAGTGCAGAGTTCATCAAAACCTTACAGAATCATGTAGGAGAGAGGGAGTTAAATATTAGATAAAGTAAGAGAAAGGTTTTTAGTAAACATATTCCGGTATCATCTACATCCAGTGTCCCTGCCCCCTGAATGACTACATTTGACCCAAGTCTGGAAGGATAGGATTGTCTGTCCTTGAGCAAATAAGGGAAATGGCTTTTAGAAACCAAGCTGTGTTCATCTTTTCATTTGATTCTGTTTTTAAATCATAAGATGCCAGTCCTGAATAGTACATTCATTATTTTTTGCTATACTGCATAATACTACCACATAGAATAGTTATATATTTACATATAGTGTATTTATAACATAATTACCTTTATGTATTCCTATTCATAGTCACATGTAATATAATTTGTTATATGTGATATTTAAATACCTTCATTTATGTAAATAATATACTTTAAATATAATTTAAATAATTGTAAATATAGTGAGACCCAAGCACAGTCTGTCTATATTGTAATAAGTAATAATAACTCTGTATGACAAAAAGATAAGTAGCTCCAAATTATGGACTTCAATTTAATGATTTTTTTTACCTCAGGGTTCTGAAAAACAATAAAGGGATTTAGATATTTTATTCTGTTGGTGTAACCCTGATTGGTACAATTGTCAAATAGTCATGTATAAAAGTAGGTGAATTAAGTCACAAGGGAATTAAACAACTTGTCAAGGTCATTTAGTAAGTTCTAAGAGAAGGGGAATGGATCTCTGTCACTGTCAAGTAGCATAACACCAGGGTAGTGAAAGTTTAAAAAAAAAATATCAGCTAAATATTTAGTATGAGATAACACATGAATGAAAACAAAAACTCCATTGCCTTATTTAAATTATTATTATAAAACTATTGGTTGTTGGATTTCCGGATCTTACAAATTTTACCTCATATCATCATCAGTCTTGTGACATCCAAGTAATACACTACTATTGACTTTGCTTTCTTTTAAATAGAATGTTTTCCTTTTTAAACTTTTTAACTTATATAATTGTCAGCAGCCAGCAAAATCATATTCCCTTTAAAAGGGAGTATGTTTATTAATATGTCCTGAATTCTGCAAGTTAAGGAATGCATTCTACCTACTGACATACTACACCAATACTCAGAGACTGAGATTCCTTAAGTAATAAACATGGCATCATTTGTTGTTGCAAAAGAAGCAGTTCCCTACTATGAGACTACCTGTTACACTGTCTTATATAGTCATTATTTTGTGTCTTTTGGTGAATTTTTTACTGCAGTTCTGCTGAATGATGTAGTCAAATATGGCATGAAAGTTAGAAAAATGTCTTTGAAAATGGGCTAACACTCTAGGCTAAAAGTCATTTGCTAATGTATATATGTATATGTATGTGTGCAAATATACGTTTTCATAATAAAACAACAACTTTATAAACCAAGAAATAGATTTAATTATAAAAATTCTCTTCTAACCCTATACTAGAAGGCAAAGATTCATCTAATAGCTGTTTGTGTTCTATGTATTCCTCCATTGTTTTTACAATATTCCCTATTTACTTATTGTGCAGTGATTTGAAGGATGTAATGGTGAGTCTAGCAAGTCCTGTGCTTGATAAACTCCTGAACAGTGTGTAAGCTTTGGAGTACCAGAGCCAGTTTGTAATTCTAACATGTTCGGCCTTGGACAGTGTGTTAGCTACTCTGTCTTCATTTTCTAATTTACAAAATTATAGGGTTGCAGTGTTGATTAAATTGAAAACTCCTTCATACAGTCAAGAAATCCCAGCTCTAACTAGTAGGTTTATCTTGGGAGGTTGTGAAAGGCACTCACTGGGATCCATGCATCCTATAAAGAACAATCATGCCTAAAGTTACTCTATCCTCCTGGGAGATTAGATCATGCTATTATACAATAACTTTTGAAAACACCTTAATAATAATTTCAATTCTTCCTGATTTAGAATAATATGCATAGCTTTCTTTCAGGCCCAAAGGGCATTTGGTTAAAAACTGTTTATACGTGTGCATATATATTTGCACAGCACATTTGTTGACCCTTTCACATCTAACCTTAATCCTGAAGAGCATATTTGGTGTTTGGCTTTTTCTTCCCATAGGGGAATTTAGCATTTAATATGTTGTATGCAATGAAATGACTGATGTGAGTTTTCATTCAACCTTTGTGCTCTTTTCTGTTTTTCATGCCTAATCGTATGTTCCCTTACCCACAGAGGGTGGCGGTTCACAGAGCCTGTATCCCAGCTCCAAGATAACTAACTAACTATGCACTCCTCTGGCTTGACAGGCACTTGCACACATGTACCTTGCACTCACAATACAATAAATAAGATATAAATATATATATATATATATCTTAATATATATATATATATTTATATATATCTTATTGGGGAGGGGCCTCCAAGTGGGTTCCCACCATCCATAGGATAAAATCAGAGGTTTTTTCATGCCCCAGTCTTGAGCCTTGGATATGTTCCTCCACTTGTTTTGTGGTTTTCAGAACAAAATTGTGTCTTCCCACACATAATTTTCATTTAACATTGGATGAGGAGTTCTTTCTAGCCCAGACTGGATTATCTCAATCCTATTTCCTACATGTTCTTATTCTATGCAGCCTTAAGGCCTGAGTTGAATATGGTACTGGAGCATTATATACCTTATAGCAAATAATCAGATGATGTCCTGCAAAATTAAAATTTCCCTTTCCTTTTTTAGGAATCTAATTATCTTTCAGTATTATAATGGTTTGTTTGTTATTACTTCTATGGACTTCACTCCTAAGTACACTTCCTTGAATATTAAGGGTGTTAATCTAAATATATTTTCTATTTCATTAATAATGTAATTGTTGCTCCATGCTATGCAAGCCAATAAGCTTAATTGGTTCCCTTTATGTAACAGCCCACAACAGGATAAAAGCTGCTCATGCTTGGTTCTCTGTATTTTTCAGGCATGATTCATGAGCTGACCCACCAGCAGCACAAGTGTACTATGGCAGTACTTATGTTTCAGATTAATTTTGACCTATATACTAGATGTGGCTGTATCAGGGATCAGGCCTGTTGGAAGGTTTTCTCAACACCAGAGAATACCTGGCTATGTAAATACTCTATAGCTTTACCTGGCTCAGAAGCTGCGGACAGGGCAGCCTGGACTCCCAAGGCATGTGCCTGTGCTGAAAGCCCTCTGTACTTTGTGGATAGAGCTAAGCAAGTTGCCAATGTTGTTTCTACTTCTCATCAAGTCCAAAAAGCATCTGAATGTCCCCCAATGTGGAGGGTAATCTTTTCACTGATAGTAGAGAAATAATTGGAATGAAACAGATGGAAGGCCAATGACAGAGGAAGTTAGCTGTGTTTGTGTTTAGTGCAAGTTGTAGAACATTAATTTGAACACTAGTTTTATGCTATTTTTACTGTGATGACTTTGAACTTAATTCAATCTATTGCCTTCTTTAGAAATCATTAATAAGTTTTCCTTCATTTTATGTTCTTCCTGTGTCATTTCTAATATACCTACTAGATTGTAGAATCGACAGAACCTAAACCCAAGGGGTTTAGTTTCTACTCCCCCCACCCAGTAGACATGCAGGTATCAGTAGAGTACTCTGTTTCCTGTAATTTGGTTATGTATTACTAATTGTTGAATTTAAATGTAGGCAATTTTTCTCTAATGAAGTTCTTTTGTTCTCCAGTCTCCTCATGACTTGGGCTGGAAAAGTAAAAAATACAGAGAATGTAATTTAATGTAAACTAGACTACAAAGCTAACAGTCTATTTCTGTCAGACTATTTAAATGAAAACCGGAATGGGAGACAACTTTCTTAGAGGTATTGGGTAAATCTTCATAAATTAAATTTTCAGTTTTGGCAGGGTTCACAAAAGTAGAGCATAAAAGTCAGACATGTACACATTTTCCACCAGCTTAAGATATGCAAAATACTCAATTTTCAGAAAATTGAGTATTTTAAGGTTAGGAAAAAGCTCAAATAAATCACATGAATAGCTTAAAGAGAAGCACATGCATGTACCTCAATGTGGTTACTTGCTCTCAGGTAACTATGCATGCTGAAAAGGAGGCAACTTGAGTGGGTGATGGGAATAAAAAGAGAGTGTTTTAGTTAGGGTTTCGATTGCTATGAAGAGACACAATGACCATAGCAACCCTTATATAGGGAAAACATCTAACCGGGGTGGGTGTATATTTTCAGAGGTTTAGTCCATTATCGTTACAGTGTGATGTGCTAGAATGCAAGCAGAGATATTAATGGAGAAGTAGCTGAGTGTTCTGCATCTTGATTGGCAGGCAACAAGATTTCACTCAGCCTGGCTTGAGCATATGTGAGACCACAAAGCCCACCTCCACAGTGACACACTTCCTCCAACAAGGACATACCTTCTAATAGTGCTACTCGCTTTGGGGGCCATTTTCTTTCAAATGACCACAATAAGTAAGGAGCCAAGAAAAGCTGAGGAATACATGTGCATGCCTGCTAATGACTTGGAACCATTTAGATAATGTTCACAAATACATGGTAGAGAATGTAAACCTCCCCCTTTTCAAAAACCTTCCACAAGAAAGTTAAGATCTTATTGTTCATCTGCACACTGATGTGTCTTTGCTTTCATAGGACCACAGAGTGGATGCGGTGGATACCTGACAGATGACAACAATACTTTTGTCTCTCCTGGATTCTGATTCAAATGGATACTATGACAAAGGTCTAAACTGCATAGGACATAACTGCACCTGAAAACAAACTCATTAATCTCACCTTCACGAAGTTTTCTCTGGAGTCACCAACAGCACAGGGAAGCTGCAACTATGATTATGTGCAGGTAAGACTACTGTACTATAAGAATCTACTCTGAAACACTCTGTTCCAGCTTACCATCTAGAAGTCTTCAAATGGGAGCACTGTTGCTCACAGCAGCTTCAGTATGTATTACAGATGCTAGTTTCCTATTCAAGTTCATGTCTGCTCTCATGACTCAAACTTCAAGTGATTTTTAACATTCACTTCAAGATTTAGTTTGTTCTGTTCAGTGCCTTGTGAGGAGTGGAAGATAGGCATATGGAATGAGATACTCAATGGAATTTGGCAATTTCTAATATAGATGACATCTGAAGTGCAAAAGAAGTACCTCTTAATTGGTCTGGGGTTTTTTCTTTCTTCCTATTTATGTAAATGCCATCCAAAGCTTCCTAAAAAGTTCCAAAAATCATGCTTCTTTAGACAGCATGAAGCTAGACAGCCATGCTCCCATTCAGTTCTAGGAAAGATACCCAGGGATGCAATGCAAGGATAGAAGATGAAGGGAAGAAAAGAGATGAGTGAGAAAAGCATGCAGCAGCGGTGAACAGTGAATGCACTGAAGTCAAGGGAAGATGATTTTCCAAGTGATGTGTTGGTAGCCAGTGCTGTTAAGCTGGGTTACAGGCCAAGAAAGGCTATGATCAAGAAAGTTATTTCACTGGATGAGAACCATTTTAATAAGACATAGGGATAGAAGCCAGTTGGTCCGAGGGAGTCTATGAGGAACTAGAGATAACAAAGTGTGGTATGATGTGTGTCAATTCAAGCTCAATCCTTTTCTAAAATGAGACTCAGTAGCAGGTACAGCTTAAGATGTTATTAAAAACCCACTTCTAGGTTATGGAAAATTAATAAGATTTGAAGGTAGATATTAGGTAGATCTAAACCCAGTTTTATTACCAAATGAGACTCTTAGATAACATGACTTCTTATTGCTTTAATTTAAAATAATCATACAATAGAGCATTCTCAAGGCTATTTTCAGAATAAAAATGATGTGCATTAGGGTGCACCTTGTGTTATATAATGATTCATTGACCAATCCTTCCATTCCCCCCCCCCTCTGGTTATTTCCAGTAGGCACAGAGATTGTGGAATTTCCTTTTAAAAATACCAAAAAAAAAAAAAAAAAAAAGGGTAGATGAGATGCCCCCAACAAGGTAAAAGCATCCCTGCTTCATAAGCCTGAATCCAAAGTGAAAAGTAGTGTCCTTGGTGTGATGGAATGTGCATGCACACACCTATGCTAGTATACATACATCACACACACACACACACACACATACACACACACACACCCCCATGATTATTTTAGAAGTGAGCAGAAACTGAACTTAGTAAGTTATCTTAGGTCCTGCATGTGAGGTAAATTGGGTTGACGTGATTATAACATTTTTTTTTTCAAGACAGGGTTCTCTGTAGCTTTGGAGCCTGTCCTGCAATTTGCTCTGTAGTGAGGCTGGCCTTGAACTCATAGAGATCCTCCTATTCTACCTCCCCAGTGTTGAGATTAGAGGCGAGTGCTACACTGCTTAGTTGACTTGATTTGTAAGAGCCATTCTGTGAGTGTTATGCGTGATATGTAAGAACTTGTGGCCATAGAACTTCCTAAAGTCATTTTGACAGAAATAGGGCAGCATCAAGAGGAATTTTTCCCAAACCGGGCAGACAAAAGAAAGGAGAGTGCTGGAAATGTGAAAGTTTGAGATATCTTCCTTAGAGGGATAGGCCTGTGCAGTGAAAGGAGCAATTTATTCCAGCTCATGGTTTGAGGACAAACCCCATCAGGGCAGAGAAGCCATGAGAGTAGGAGCATGTGGTAGCTGGTCACATTATGTCCACAATCAGGAAACAGAGAGGGGATAAAATCTGATGCTTGGCTCATTTTTTCTTTTTAAATTCTGTCCAGAACCCCAGGTTATGGATTGGCATTACCCAATTTAGGGTGGGGTCTTTCTGATCCAATCAAGAAACTCCCCAAGACATGCCCAGAGGAGAGATTGCTCTCTTAAGTTATTCTAGATCTTGTTAAGTTGATAGTCAATATTTACTACCACATTTTAAATTGTCTATTAAATATTGTAATAAAACCACACTCTATTAAAGCTAAGTTGACTCAACTCTATGAATAGTGTAAAAGCTAGATTTATACCGCAAGGACAAATAACTGTTATTATGACAGTCTCTGGGTATTGAACAACCCACCAAAACCTAGCTGTTAAAAAGGCACATCTGCCTACATAGGGTATTTTTAGGAAGGTTGATTACTGAGGACACCAACCCTTGAGAGGACACTTGAGCCCCAACCCTCCTTTTTTCTCAACACAGTATGTAGGCAAGTGCCTCCTCCAGTATGTCCTGCAGGAAGCTTTTCTCATTAGCAGGCCCCAGACAACAAGCTTCGCCACTATGTCACTATAGACATTAGTCATGCATGACTGAGACCTAGAGACAGAGTATATCATTTTTCTCTTGAGCTGATTATTATAGGCATGTTAGGCAAGTGTCACAGTGATACCAGGAAACAAAGGATTCCTAGGAAGCAAGTGTGGCTGGGTTATTGTTCAGGACACCATAGGACATGCAATCCTGCCCCAGTGTTGTGCAGGGTCCTTCAGGGTGGGAGATTTGATCTTGTCATAGAACAGAAGAGAGGCATAAAGAATGCTGGGTTAGTTGCATGGGAGTCTAGGAGCCATGCCATTGTAACTATGTACCTCCAATCTGTTGCAAGACTCCCACTTTAACTGTGATTGAATGAATGGGGTCTTTGCAGCACAGGGCCACCTTCTACCCAGTATGGGCTTCTTCCTCATACTTCCTTTCACTTTACCATTCTCTATTTAAAACCCATGTCTGATCTTTATAGAGTGAGACCCAAGCTTCTTGGCATGAAATGGATGGTCTTTCCCAACATAATTATTTTTTTATAGTATGTTCTATTTTTTAAACTCTTTAATATTTTTGTATTTCCTCATACATATTGTAAAAAATATATATATAGAGAAATATATAAATACATATATACACATATGCTTAAGTTACTTTGGCTCTTTTCACTGGTCAGTGAACACTGTGAAGGTATAGAGGAGTGCTTTTATGCCTTTGGGTACACACAAGACCCAACATAAGCCAGGCACATGATACAAAAGTGAAAAAGCTTTTGATGATTGTGAAGACCAAGGTGGGTGTAATGAAACTCCATTTTCTGTCAGAAAAGTATATTGTCCTAAACTTGCAACTCTTTTCTGTAAATTAAGGGCATTAGATTGCAGAACACTTTTCCACTCTGTAGGAATTGACATTAGTTCATATAGGAGATATTATGCCATCTAGTGGTGAGCTATTACTAACTTTTAATTTTGAAATTCTGCACCTTCATTTTATAACAATGTTAGAGAAGCGTTGCTCTAAGATCTTTGACTGATATGGTATTCTGTATTAGCTCATCTGAGCTACATAAGCACAGAAACTCATTATTAAAGTATAGTTAAAATCGGTGACATATGAACAGAAAGTAAATCCTAGGTTGTGTTTTTAACAGGTGTTTGAGGGATATCTAATCCATCATTATTTTCTTGGATGTTTTTAAAGGGCTGTAAGAGCCATGATGGTTCTCAGTGCTAGATACTTGAGCAGAGCTCCACGCCCCTATGTGTGCAATTCACATTCTTGTAGAGAGGGAGTTTGGTTAAAGCAAATAAGCAAAAACAAGATACAGTTTGATTAGAGTAAAATAAAACAGGATGATACTGGTATGTGGGGTTGACCTCTCTGAGGAGGTGATTTATGAGCTGAGGCTCCCTGGCTAGTAGTTATCAATCTTCAAGAGAGAATATGCCACCAAGGGGGAGATTGCCAGAGGCAGCGGCGGGTGAGGGAGAGGCTGTGAGAGGGAGACATTGTAGCTTATTGGCTGGGGCTTGCAGATAGGGGTAAAGAGCGAAAAACTCTGCATTAGGTGCAAGGTGTAGCTCTGCAGGAAGAATAAGAGTATAACCTAGGTCATCAGACACCAGAGCAGCATGATGGAGAACCCCTGTGGGTGCTCCGTGCAGCTGATTGGTGAGCCGTGCTCTGCTGGCACAGGGGTGATGCAACATTGATGTGATTTTTTAGAAGGTGTTAAGAAGGCAGGTATGGCTATAGTGGAAATGGAGAAGAGTTGGGTACGACTGAAGTTTAGTCTTAAGCCGTTTATAGAGATAGAGAAGGGCTTGGGGAGAACATTTTAGGGACGAAAGGGGTTTTGATATGAAAGTATATCACCCTAGGAACACAAAACTCCCAAATCCATAGCTAATGGTATTGGGGGAGCTTTGAGACAACTTGGGGTTAGATGAAGTCATGATAATGGGGTTTAGGATGGTATGAATGACTTCATACAAGATAGAGCTATGCAGAGCTGGTATAAGCTGCTGTCTCTAATATGAGACTCTCATGTCAGAAGGTAAAAAAAGGTCTTCATTGGAGGCAGCCCTGGAATTTGAAGACTTCTCAGCTTCTAGCACTATCCACATCAACTTATTTGTTCATAAATGATTTTGTCTAAGTACTTTGGCACAATTTGACAAAACAAACCAAGGCAGGTGGATAGTGGGTGAATAATCAAAGCACTTACTAGGTATTGATGAAACATTGTTTATGCCATACATACTGTTGAAGCCAAGGGACCCAGGTGTGAAACATGGGGCTAAACTGAAGGAATCATAGAAAAGACATTCCAGTACAGGAAGAGGGTCCAGCAAAGGAAAGCGGTGTATGGCTGTGAAGCAGGACTGGCCTGGGATGTTCAAGGAGCTCAGAGCAAGTAGACAGCTGAAAAGAGACCCATGAGGTCTGAGGTGAGAGGAGAGCCCATCCCATTAGGCCTGGACAACTGTTGTCATGGGCATGGCCTTGTATTAAGAGGGGTAAAAAGCAGTTAGGAGTTTGGGTCTGACTTCATTTTAGCAGCAACCTCTGGATGGCATCTTGAGAGTAAAGAAGATAAATAAGAGCCTCCGGAAATACCAGTAATTC